CAGGAACGAATTAAGAAATTTGGTGCCATGAGGAATTGTCATGGTCGTAATACATGTATATTTATTAGTTGATAAATATTTGATCAATGAGGGAAATTACAATTTAGGTGTAGAAATATGTTTAATATAATTTTATGCGCTTAGAAACACTCATGTGTAATGAAGCGCTATATAAATTGAACAATAATAATAATAAAGTAAATTAAGATGTTTTCTTTGGAGATCGTCCACCTGATTTTATATTCTAATAATATTTTACAATATAACAGCATCTAGAATCAATTTTTAAAAACTTTCTAGACACCTCCATTCAAGTATCACAATGCATCTGTGGCATCACTAGTGGACATTTAAAAATAGTAGGAACATGGCTGACAGATAATTTTGACACAGACAAGCAAATATTAACCGATTAATTCCTAAAAATATAACCATTTTTAAGCTTTTTGACATAGTATGGGTGTATATTGGAGATTCCCTATCCGTTGGTCCATTGACTCCTGCTTGTCCATTCTCTAGAGGTCACAATTTTTGACAAATTGTTTTCAAACTTAAAGATAATGGTTCTTATGAGTAGATGAAGCTTGGAATCGAATTTTAGTGCAATTGCTATTCTTGTTCCTGAGTTATGGCCTTTTAATTAGTGTAATTTTGCTTGTCTGCTCTCTAGAGGCCACAATTTGTTCTTTTGTGTAAGCTTTAATTCCGTCTTTGACAATCTTTTTTTCAAGACAAGGCTGATTTGTGGGCGTATTTTTATTAGACAAATGCAGAGTAGTATATCAAACCATTCCTAGTTGCCAAGCTCAACCATGACCCATTTGGTGGTTCTGTGGTGGAGCGTCTAGTAATTTGAAAAGCTGGAATTGAAAAAGAGTAGGCTGTAGAGCCGCAGTCTAGGCAAAATGTCCCTCAAAGTACACTGCATGACGTATGTCCATCTTCATTAGTCCAGACGTTAAATCCCATCTAATTTCATTGCAGGACAACTTGATTCTTGTTCTCATAATAGGCTAAACAGTAGTGCAGGTGTACAGGAATATTTTTGGACAGTAGGGAGGTTTTGGGTCATATTTTGTTCTTCATGTGGTGACTATAGCCTCCTCCCTTATGATAAGTCAAGCAGGTTGTGAAATAGTAGTATGTACAAGATAACATTATGTATATATTGACATTGTGTGGGTTACACCACTCCCTTGTTGATATCACACAATCTGTCAGCCATTCTTATTTATACATGTAACACTCTTTACCTACATTATATAGTAGAACAATCCATTCAAGGCACTGTGTGTGTATGTTGTAGTAAGGTCAGTTCATTCAATATTTATTACTGGGGATCAATAATACATTACAACTATTGCAAGTCTTAATTTAAGTATCTAAGTCTTTAACTCAATATCATCCAAAGTCTTTGACATTAAAAACACCAATTATTTGTCAATTTAAATCAACATTGATGTTGTCATCTTACCGGGGAAAAGATGGGCTTCTGATATCCACTATTCAAGACAAAATAAATGTTTTACCATTTGTACATGAATCATGTACCAGAATGTGTTTCAGCGCCATTTGTAACAAGGGACTCGAAGAATGAGGCTAGACATATTTCACAAGTCATGTCAAACAGTGACACCATATTCTTATCAGGAGAGCATGAACAATAAATACTACAGGTGTAGACTGGAAAAACCAGACACTAACGATTGCCATTTGATTGAGACTTCTGGCGTATTTCACCAAACAGAACTGATTTGAAATTAGAGTAAAAAACGGAAACGATTGAATGTAAATCAGTTTATATACATTCATATTATATTATTATATGCGCTGCGACCCATTTGTGTCAATTTCTATACATGATCACTTGCCATTTACTAAAACATTTTCTTTCAACACATTACATTAGACTTTATTATTATGGGTATTAGGAATTTGTACATTTTAGCAGAGCATTTAATATTGGCAGCCTATTCTTGTATAGATGAGCTGATATAAAACTCTTGATTTAATTATGATGAATGGGCAAATTGCCTTTAGCACCATATATATATATATATATATATATATATACATGTATGCAAGAAAAACACATATTGATATTAATCTGAACTTGCTTAGAATGACTAAACTTCTTAGATTGGGCTACAAAAAATTGTTTTCATAGGATTTTATACATCAATTTGTTTTATGGGATGGCAATTTGTCTTCATTGAAAATTCTACATCTAGATGAAGCCAGTGTTGTGATATAACCGACTTTGTGTTTCACTGTTGAAGCAGAATCAAACGACATGCATTATCTTTTAAAATAACAATTTTATAGTACAGAGAGTGATCCATCACTAATTCATATAAGGTATCTGACCAGCACTCCTAAATGCTCTATTTTTGCCCCCCCCCCCCCCCCCCCCCCCCCGGGACTAGTTAAATAGGTTCGTCTGTCTGTCCATCCATAATTGGGGTCACAATAACTCTGAGGTTGAACTAGAATGTTCAAACTTGAAGTAGTTGTTCATTATCATTAGTGAATGCCTTGACTGAGATTGGCTGAGACTAGAGAATATGATAACTTTGATTCTAATTAAGTGAGACTATGAGACTATTTTCATTACATCAATATCTTGACTAAGTACCTTGACAAGTTTAATAATGAGCATTATACAAAGTGATAAACAACTGGATCACTAAATGCTTTTTAAAAGATGGGAGACATTAACCTCACTGTTGACTTGTTAAGACAGATCATTTTAACTCTCATTAATACCAGATTTCAGAAATGCAATGTTAATATTTTATTTACTGTGCTTGAAGTCTGACAGATGTTTTTGATCTACAGGAAATAGAATTTTTATCATGTTTTACTAATTAACAGAATATACAAGGTAAAATATTCTTTGACATATATATGTTATGTAAGAAAGTTTGAATTATTAACATATTTACTATACAGTGTATCCCCATGCTATTCTTGGCCTTTAACACACACTATTGGATTAAGTATTGGGTGATCATGTTTGGTCCGACTCCTTTTTCTATTTCCATTACGTTTACATTCCATTACTTTTACATTTTAGGATTAGGGTTAGGGTTAGGTACATGTATTTGAGATTAAAACCTATAAATTCAGGGTTAGGGTTTTAAGATTAAAACCAATGAGTAACACAAAATCTTCAACAGCAATGAAATATTGAAACACAAAAATGGGAGTCACATCAAACATGAATGCCAACTTTTGATATATTTCTGTTTTGACAGAAACATAACTAGGCTAGAGTGCAAGGCTGCAAGCGGGTCTGAATACAGAAAATGTGAAATCAGGGGGGCAGAGGGAGATTATATACACACTTTGGCAGAAAGCCAATCAACATGTTCTTTATTTAAATTCAACATTGATGATTAAAAGGAAAACTTGATGCTGAAATATTGGGTTTTTATACGCCCACATGGAAATGTTGTTGTATATTGTCGTTGGTCCGTCTGTCGGTCTGGCGTCCACAATTGCTTGTTGATGCTCTAGAGGCTAAAGTTAATATCTGATTAACTTTAAATTTATACACAGTGTTTAAGGTCAGGAGATGAAGAATCCTATTGATTTTCAATGATTTCCGATAATTACTGCAAGAGTTATGGCCATTGATCACTTTGAAATATCTTGTAGATGCTCTTGAGGGAAAAGTTAATATCCGATTAAATTTATACACAGTTTTTAAGGTCATGAGACGAAGGATCCTAGTCATTTTCAAAGAATTCAGATAATTACTGTCCGAGTTATGGTCCTTGATCACTTTGAAATATCTTGTGGACGCTCTAGAGGCTAAAGTTGATATCCGATTGACTTTAAATTTATACACAGTGTTTAAGGCTAAAGTTAATATAAACTGTTCAAGGTCATGAGACAAAGAATCGAAACAAGTTCTAATGAAATGAAATGAAATGAAATGGAGTTTAACGTCCTACTGTTCTGCTCCTAACCTGGGCTAATGAAGACGGGCATAAGCCATACAGTGTGCTATGAGGGAAATTTTGCCCGGACAGCCGCACTACGGCCTACTCTTATATCGAATTCCAACTGCCAAGGGATCTTTTACGTGCACGCCAATGTGTACACGGGATCTCGGTTTTTCGTCCCATCCGAACGACTAGACAGCTTTCCTTGTCAGCCCCTCCGTCCTGCATCACTGACAAGGGAGAACCACGCCGGAAAATCTGGGTGAACTTTCTCGGCCAATGCAGGGATCGAACACCCGACCTCCAGGCTAGCGAGCTAGCGTCTTACCCACTTAGCCACGTGATCCCCAAGTTCTAATGATTTCAGATAATGACTTAATGGCTTATTACTCGTAATAAGATTTTCATGTGTTGTAAACGTTCTCCTTACTGACAAAAGAAAAAATATGCGAAAACCCTTGTTGACTGCCCGGACGACTTAGCTGTTGAGGGCATATGTTTCATTACCTGGCAACCTATCTTTAAATTACTGTACCAGACTTTCTCCTCTAAGCAAAATCCTGGATGCACCAAAAGGCAAACACTATGTCATACTTTAGAAAATTCAAATTCTGAATGTTAATTTTTATTTTCCTACTCTAAAATATTGGGCATATAGAGTTGTAACCCTTTATTTTATTATAAGGCTTTATTAATATGAAACAGTGGATGGATCTTAATATATTTTTATGCTTATTTATTTTGTAAAACTAATTCTAACAGTACACAATAGATAAAATGGCCATCTCAAATTCTTCTTTTGATGGATTACATTTCACTCATTTCAAACAGTGACGTTACTAGTATATTTTTATATACTTATATACTTATATACTAAATACCTCAAGTCATCTACATGTGATACAAAGTTCGGTATGTAGAAAGTAGTATGGTGAGACGTACATTAAGGCCATGTTGAAGGTTGAGTCAGTGAGTGTGTAGGAAGGGGTGGTACAGTTTACTGAATCACTCATCTGTGAAATATTTCTCAATAGTTATATATCATTTCAGGTTGAGTGAGGTCCTGTTTAATTTTTGTTATCAAACCAAATCCACCATACAGTTATCATGTCTGGTAAGTCTGTCTTTTATCAATTAATACACTAATAAATATGGTAGACAATGGGTTAGAATGTTTGAAATGCTAGGAATTTACGGTCAGCATGCCACATTCAACAGTGTTTCATTTTCAAACATGATTTAACTTCAATTTCATTCATTGTGATCGTATGTTTTTTTTATGATATTCTTATTAAATCAGTGACGGATTACCCACAGGCATAGGCATGGACTCCTTCAAACTACCTGCGTGTTCCCTTGCAAATGATGATGTTTTGTGAATACTTAATTACAGTGCTTTGAACACTTAAATTTTAATTTCTTGGCGTGGTATAGAACTTTTATTTGGAAAAAAACCATATTTTAGATATTTTATGAATAATACAGTATCATAAATTTCCTCTGATATTTATAGGGTGTTTATATTATTAATATAATACTAGACTATTCAAATTAAATTAGGAACTACCATAAATATTTTAACACAAGTAGGACCTTTCAACATTCTTAATTCAATATGGACCTCTCTTGGATCACAAGGAACATTCCCCCCCCCCTCCCACATTATATTTATACATTTAATGACCATATAATGCCAAATAACAAATATAATTTTCATAACTTTACTTTTAGCGTCAACGACAATGTGAATTGTGACACAGAAAATCTCTATATGTCTTGACTTGCAATGGATGTCAAAATTTCTACATCGGGGAGACGGGCACGCATCTACGGAATAGAGTACGCAACCATCGACGGGATTGTAATATTGAATATGGGCCTTATTTGTAAATAGACATATCTTTAGATATGCAAAACACCTACAAGTTAAATTTCAAATTTTCCCTTTTTATATACTCTTCAAAAAAAGTAGGGGATATTCAGAAACAATACAAAACTGCGGAAATGCACGGCTGTTTTTATTAGAGGTAACCAGTGTATGTTAATAACAGGCCAATTGCCTACACATGAACATAAACAGTTCATATGGGCAGCTTATCTGACGGCCCCATTTCACTTGCAAAGAGATACATTGACTGTCAAAAGTGAAAATGGACGTTTTTGATTTTTGTCTTAATAATGAGTAATTGCTCCAACAATCCTCAGATATTCAGAAATTCGTCGTGGCATGCTCCTAATCAACCGTCCAATCACGATTTGAGGAAATCTGACCCACTCCTCTTGCAGTGCCACAGCCAATTCTTGCAGTGTTGTTGGTTGACAATAATGAGATAGAGAACAATTACATGACGTCATGGCATTATTAATAATATGTACATGACAATAATTTTGCCTGTATACTCTTCATTACAACCTGGACATATTTTCAAATATATAACATTTTTATACGCCCACATTTTCATGTGGATGTATATTGTCGTCGCCCCCGTCCGTCCGTCCACAATTGTTTGTGAACAGTCTACAGGTCACAATTTTTATCCGATTTCAATGAAACTTGAAATATAGGTTTATCACCCTAAGATCTCGGTTCCTTTCGATATTGGCATCTATCGAACCGTAACTTCATGGATTATGGCCCCTGATAGTACGAAAAATCACGTTTTTGGCTTGTGAACACTGTAGAGGTCACAATTTTTATCCGATTTTGTTGAAACTTGAAATGTAAGTTTATAACCCAAAGATCTTGGTTCCTTTTGATATTCGCACATATCAGACCGTAACTTACTGAATTATGGCCCCTGATTGTACGAAAAATCGCATTTTTAGCTTGTGGACCCTATAGAGGTCATAATTTTTATCCGATTTAAAAAAACGTATTATTATATCACCGTTACACCCTAAGGACGACTTACGGTAGTTCAAATTTCGTGAAAATCGCCCCAAAACTGACAGACAAAATGGCCGCCCCTCGTTCTCAAATTGCGTAAAAATATGGTATATCAAGGTTGTGGACCCTACAGAGGTCACAATTTTTATCCGATTTTGTTGAAACTTGAAATGTAAGTTTATAAGTTTATAAGATCGTGGTTCCTTTCGATATTTGCGCATATCGAATTGTAATTTCCTGTATTATGGCCCTTGATCATAGGAAAAATCACTTTCGTTTTAGCTTGTTTTCTATCCATCTCTCGAAAATGTTGGCGTATCCTGCCTGGCAGCCGCTGGTTACTTTTACAGGTCATAGATTGATTTACTTTAAAATTTCCATTTCCATTAATTTTTACTGTTTTCCCTTCAATAATGTTGTCACAAGTTGTACATCTATTGTCCCCACACTTTGTAACAACCGATTCTGTGACTTCAGAATCAAATTTTGAAGAAGTATAAGTATTCGTCATAAATTTGGAGCTTGTTTATAAGAATTTATAATCTTTGTGGCATCCCATATATCAGACATTTTTTTACTATTTCTTAATAAATATGTATGTTTATTTATTACATCCCTTGCTGTAATATATAGCAGAGTGTTGAGAGTAAAAATCTTTTGATGTGGTGTTTAATTTAAGTTTTTAACTCTCTATGCTATGCAACTCTTATGGAGAATACCCCAAGGATGCAATCATTTGAAACACATCTAGAGCTCTACATTATTTTTATAATTCAAATAAATTTGTGTACATTATAGGTGAAACATTCAGATACTATTATTTACACTGTTGATTTTACTACAGGAAGCACTTGTCTGTTTAGTATGTAAATTGAAACAGAGATAAAAGTTTTTAGGGTAATTCCCTATTCAGGGCTCTATAAAAGTTGAGTATGCCTGCGCACACACTTGAAAATGTGCCTGCAGGGTCATACTGAAACACAGGGATGTAGCCAGGATTTGGTGAGTGGTGTAAAAATATATTTGGCGAGCGGAGCGAGGCAAAAACAATTTTGGGAGGGGGGGCGTGGTCTTTTATGAAAATTAAACCCTTCTTGGTGTATTTTCAGAGCATCTGCTGCCTTTTGTATTTGGTTCAGTGCAAATCAAATTTCCATTTATATATTCAAATTTTACCAAATTCACTTAATTTTCATCAATGATACAGGGATCTAAAAACTTTTTGACACCACCCAACCGAGCATAAAATTGTCCCGCCCCACTCTGTTTCTCTGGATAGATAAGTTGAGGACCTTTCGGTATTTGTTGTTTTGTTGGGTTTTTTTTTCAAATATTACTTTATTACTTTGAGATTAAAAATTAAAACGATTCTTAAAACGGTGTTTGTGTTTAATTTGAGTACAACGAATTATGACAACAGGTAGATATTGATAATTAAAACACGTTGTATTATTTGACTTGTTTGTAAAGTTGTTGTACGTGACTCACGAATATTATTATTATTACGGTGGAATGAGAATCAGGTCAGGCAGAAACTGAGAAAGCTCTCATCGTCCTCCTAGTCCTACTCTCGGGCCGTAGCAAATCCACGGTCAACACAGGTAAGAAATAAAATAAGAAACATCGTGAAAATTTGCAGGCACGTGTTGGACAATTACGACATTCAAACCTTTAACATTGGAGTGCCGTAAATTGGTCTGGGTGACCTATTTACGGCAAATAAACAAATATAAAGACCAATACATCTTTCTTTAAACTAATTTGGGATGATAGGGTCTACTACGGCACACAAAAATAAATTATGCCGTGACAGACATGGTTTGCGTACGTCGGCTTTTACCATGGCTTTGCCGTTTAATTGCCGTGGTAAATTTCGAGTGCCATGTTTGTGTACAGAGAAGGACGAAGGGGTTTAAATATGACTGGGCGGCTTCCTTCGATTTTTTCTTTGTGCTGGGCGACAAAAAATAGTGCCGGGCGCAGGCGCCGCCAGGCGTGGCTACATCTTTGAAAATGTGCCTGCAAAAAAGTTTTTTAAAGCATTTGCCTGCGCACGCCGTGCGCATGTGCGCGGAAATATCGATGCCTGTCCCTAATTGGGTAATCTTTTACTGTAAGTTATATCACAGGAGTCTGACCTTCTATCCGTATATATATATATGCATACACCATGTCCAAACAGACTATACAATAAAAAAAGAACAGGAATGCAATGCCTGTTGAAGACTCGATTTTACCTGCTCTCGCTTCGGCTGGGTTTTTTTCAACAATTCGTAATGTCAGGCAATCAAACCTCTGTCGATTCACTCAGATATGTTTTTTCTTCAATCTAGTCGTTTTCATTGGCATAAATACTCCCACAAAACGATATCATATGCCACTTGTTTCCAATATTTACATTACTTCCTGTTGTTTTTTTTTTTATATATTGACTGGTTGGACATGGTGTATGCATATATATACGGATAGAAGGTCAGACTCCTGTGGTTATATATGCGTAAAATAAATCATATGATTTTTTCTGGTCTCTTCCATCCCTACACCTTCCAGAAAGAAAAAAAATCATTAACTAAATAGAACAAGAATATTTTTCACTTACACTGGACTTGTATTTGATCAGTATTTTGTCATTGGGTATACTTGTTGATGTACATTGTAGTTTCTGTCATGATTATCTATTCTAATATAATTAATGGAAGGTCTTATTTATTGAGAATCTGGTTCAAGAATGGAAATGGTGCAATTAAAATAAAAACCAGTTAATCTTGTTTTTATTTACCATTTTGGAGAGGAAATATTGTAACTATTCATAGTTACTCAAATTAATTGAAAAATTATTTTTAACATGATCAATGTGTGTGTTTTCAGGTTTAGTTAAAGCCAAGAAATATGACTGGAAGGATTCTAACTTAGCATTATTCGGATCAGACACAGAAAAACAAGTTAAAAGTAAGTATTGTTGACTACATCCCCATAGCTTGGGTAAGCATTGGGCCCCCTCACATTTTAGTAAAATACCTGTAAATGATGTGTTCAGAAAATTGAACATTTTGGCAAGGAACAAGAGGAAAAATGTTTAAATCACAACCCCTTCCACTGTGAGAGCTTTCTATAAAGAGGTCTTATATACTTGGGCCCTGTTTCACAAAAACTTAAATCTCCTTAAAATCGTCTTAAACTAAAATTCCATCCTAACTTAAGATAGATGCGTTTCACAAAACGATTTTAAGCATTTTAAATAAAACCCACTAAAATAATATTGTAAGTTAAAATTGTATCTTAACTTAAAATAGTGGCGTTTCACAAAACTATTTTAGGGACAATTTTAACTAAAATCAATGTTAACTTAGGACAGCCGTCACCCTCTCCTAACTTAAAATCACAACATTAACAAACATTGATTAGAGCTATGTTGTTAGATCTATTGCGACATATAGATATATTTGGAATAATATTGCCAATGACCCGGGTCATATAATTTAAACATACTATCATTCACAAAAATAATTTTGATTCAAGTATGAATTATACTATTTTCAAATAAATAATAGACCCCCAAAAAAACTAAAAAAGAAAATCTAAACTCACTTCATATCTAATGACTATAAAAAAATATCTTTGTAGACCTACAATTGTTTAAAATATGAGAGAGAGAGATAGGGAGGGAGAGAGAGAGAGGGAGGGATAGAGAAAGAGAGAGAGATTTAATGTCCAGACACAAACTAGGTCATTTCGGGACTAACACATGGTTCAATTTTAATTGAATAATTCGCTTGTGCGTAGGGGTCTTTAGTAGTGGGAGGAAAACGGAGGATCCGGAGAAAACCCACAAGGTTGGACATTGACACTACTCCCTGTCATGTACCACCGAGGAATCGAACCCCATCAGTCCTATAATACTAGATAGGCCATATGCAAAGTATTTATGGTTTTTGGGTTATGATGATTTATATAGGAGCCAAGGGTATTTTATATTGGGAAAAAATCATTTTAATTTAGTAAGATAGATAAGCATTATCCAATAAGGAGTGTGGCACTTTGGCATTTTCAAAGTATTATTGAAAGGGTCCATGGGACTGACATTTCAAATCTAGGCATCGAAACATTGGCTATTTCGTGTATTAGTTTAAAAGTTGTTAAATACTTTTAAAATTCGACAATGCTTTAGTCTAGATTAATAGTCAGAAATATCTCATGTTTGTGACAATTCTCAATAGTTTCTGTTATCCAAAATACCATAAAACTACGAAATTTAAGCGATTTAGTTTATCGATACGCATTGTGCTGGAATTGTGCACTGCGCGGGCGCAAGCAATTTTACCTAAAATCTATTAAAATTGCATTTTAGTTACAATCGTTCTTCGTGAAACTCATAAAATTAAAAATTTCATTTTGATTTTAGTGAAAATCTATTTTAGTGATTTTAGTTTAAATTTTTGTGAAACAGGGCCCTAGTATTTTTACACATTAATCTCAGGACAGTCTAATATCCAAATGATATTAGACTTTTTACTATACAAGAGTGTTAACCAATTAGAATTGCTCTCCACCTATCATATTTTTCAGGAGATTAATGAGGTATTGCTGAGTTTGACGACTTAACAATATTTTACCATTGATTTCAGCATCTGTGTGTACAGTACAAATAATCATATGTTTATCTACAATCTTGTTCAAAATGTTACCTTTCTAGAAATCAATTTTATTGGTATAAACTTGAAAACTAATTACACCACCAACATTTGAAAATAAACATTGTCTGGATAATTGGGCTTATACAGATCACCTCAATTAACAAATCGCTTCTGGGGAGTAAATGTTGATCTAAATAACGATGAAAAACCTACAAATACCATGTTTCAATGTGCTATATTTGGGGCTTTTATAGCTAAAAACTCTTTATCTTTTACCTCCGTGGTATGTTTGCAATGCTAAACACCGCTGAAATATCTGGCAATATCTATTTACAGACTTTGGTGGACACTTGATATTTATCATATTTATACATGTATATTTTAGAGGAATCAGTTATTTATTATAATTATAGTTGTATATTTTAGAGGAATCAGCTATTTATCATATTTATACTTGTATATTTTAGAGGAATCAGCTATTTATCATATTTATACTTGTATATTTTAGAGGAATCCGCTATTTATCATATTTATACTTGTATATTTTAGAGGAATCAGCTTTTTATCGTTTATACTTGTATATTTTAGAGGAATCAGCTGAATCAGAACCAGCATGGGCTGGAGCTGGAACAGAAGTTGGACTAAAAATCTGGAGAATTGAGGTAGGAGAAAACACAGTTATATTAATAATACATGTATTTTCAGTTAAAGATGCATTATGTAAGGGCTAGATCGGCCAATTGCATGTCTTTATTTAGCTTCAAATGTTATATAAACTATTATTTAGGCATTTATTAACATGACAACCCTATAATCAACTCTCTAAATCATCGGATGACAGAGATTTAAATTCATATTTCTCTTATATTCTCTTATTGATATTCTTAAATATGGCAATTTGGCAATACTTAATTTTTACAGCAATTTCAAGTGAAAGATTGGGAAGAATCTGAATATGGTAAATTTTATAATGGTGATTCTTACATTGTTTTAAATGTAAGTAGTTTAGTAACAGATGATAAACTTTTGCTGTCAACAAGCTATGCATTCTGCAGGGTAGTGAAAAGACAATCATCAATTTATCAATAGATAGACAAAATCTCCTCATCATCATTTATCTTGTGCAAGATCATGTGACATTTTGCAGCATCACCTGACAATCTAATCCATTCCATCTGCTTACTCAAATTCTAATCCGTTCAGACTGAACACAGGTTTAACAAACGATGAATATAGCATTTTGTCCCCGTTTTTATACACCCACATGGCAATTTGGTTGTATATTAATGCGCTTCCGTCCGTTCGTCTGTCAGCAGTCTACACACTACATTTATTATCCGATCCGTATGAAATTTATGTGCGTTACTTGATCTGTATTAAATTTGTATGCATTATTTAAATTAGTAAAATGAAGAAGCCTTTAAATTTCAACAATTATGGCTCTTGTTTTACTTTGTTAAAGCTTGTGAACACTCTGACAACAAAATTTATCGTCTAACCTGTATTAAATTGATATCAGTGTCTTGTAAATGCTACCATTACCTACAAAAGAATAAATATGTGACAACCCTTGTTGAGTGCTCAGACGATTTAGATGCTATGGGCATATGCTTTGTTGCCTGGCAGCCTATCTTTGTTTGTGTAACACCAATTAATACAAATAATTTTTCTTTTTTCAGACATACAAGGAGGGTGACTCTGATGCGTTACTTTATGATGTCCATTTCTGGATTGGTAAAAATAGCTCACAGGTAAACAATTTAATAATCTACAGAAGAATCTGCATTAAGCAGCCACCCAAGGGAATTTTCACAACTGACCGCTTAACGGGAGTGGCCTCTTAATAAAATCTCGGTGCTTTTTGTGCTGACAGAAATTAAATATTACGCTTGGATGCATTGGAAGCGGTAAATTTGACCGTCGCTGAATCTTGCGCCGAACGAAAATTCTTTACTCAAATCTCGGACATAACTTAACAGGAGTGACCTCTTAATAAAATCTTGGTGCTTTCTGTGCTGACATAAATTAAATATTACACTTGAATGCATTGGAAGCGGTAAATAAGCGGTAAATTTGACCGTCGCTGAATCTTGCGCCGAACGAAAATTCTTTACTCAAATCTCGGACATAACTTCTGTAAACTTGTCATTTTGTACCAACCTTCGATACTACTGTCTACCATTGTGATGCATTCGATAATATTTATCCATTTTTGTGAAGAAAATCGATGAATTAATTTTATTTTATCAAAAAAGCACATGAACAAAAAAACATTGCCGATTCTATCACCTATTTACAGGGGATGTAACTCTGTATGTAATATTATAGGAGGCGCTAAAACGTCTGTTTAACAATAAAGTGGCAATGGAAAAGAGATACTAGATGATCGTGACAAAACTCGGTACTTTTATTTTATTCAATCAATATCAAATAATCTGTCGTTACGCGTGAAAACAATGATCAGGTTAGTCGTTTAATAACAAAAGATTAATTAATAGATAATCCCGGGTTGATTGTTATTTTTACATTTCTTTTTACCTGATCAGTGGGGGTCCAGTTAATTAACTACTACTCACGGGATTAGCGGGGGCGTTACAAAGAACGACAAGATGGTATCATTCAACAATTGCCGCTGAATGGGCAATGTTTTGTTGAATTTATTTGTAAAATAGTGACCGCTGGCCGCGTTAGAGGAGTGACCGTTGAATAAAGAGATGAAACAACAGAATTTTTACGGGGGGAATTTATCGTGACCGCTTACAAGGAGATGTTGCTGAATAGGAGTGGCTGCTCATATAGATTCTACTGTAATTAAAATTCAAATTTGTGACTTAATAGATAATACAGGAATACAACATAGCAAAGCACATACAGTGCAGACAATACTAACTGTTTAAAAAAGCACAAGCAAATGTGAAAATTAATCCAGAGCTGTTAGAATAAACTATTACATTTTACGTGTAATTTTAGGATGAATATGGAACTGCAGCATACAAGACGGTTGAACTTGATACATTTTTAGACGATGCTGCAGTCCAACATCGAGAGGTTCAAGGTCATGAATCTGACCTTTTCAAGTCTTATTTCCCAGAGGGAATTACGTAAGTTTAATTGGATTTCTTTGTTAAATTTATTATAGATGTGGAATTGGTATATTTATGAATATTACTCCTGTTTTTAAACTGGCAGTTGGTGTAAAACAGGTTTTTCGTCCCATTCAAATAACTAGATACTGTTCCTTGCCTGGTCCTCCATCTTACCCCACTGTTAAGGGAAAACAGATAATTCCCACGTAAAGCCTATCTTGAATGAATTTTGACCTCGAACTCTATCTCAGTATTAACCATAACTCCACCACCTATTAAACATACATTATGCAAGAGCTAAATCTGATTATTGCAAGTCTTTATTTAGGCTTCAGATGTCATAGAAATTATAAATTAGATCTTTATTTACACAACAAGCACAAAATCAACTCTGTAGACCCACAGATGGCTTGGATTCGGCTTGGATTTAAACAGGATTTCATTGATTGATTAAATTTTTAAATGGTGTCGTAAGCAGAGATTAACCGTTACGTTGACGCCATACTCCCGGAAATTTTAGATCGAGGCTAAATGATAGAGTGTACGAAGCGAGGCCGCTGTTGAGCGAGGCCGCATGTTATCAATTTGATTGAAAGTTTGATATATACTGCCTTGATATTATGTTTAGTTGTGGTTAAAATGAGAGTTTGGATGTCAGTATTATACACTCTTTTGTCACTTGCGTTTACAGAAAAATTATGGAAATTGATAAACATCGCAGCTAACATCACCCCAGTTGAATTGCAGCTCCATTGGATCACTGTTTTCTATTTATCTGCTTCGGGAGTTACGTATGCCTACCAGTTACAGTACAAGAGTACATGCAGGCTAACAAGAAGTCGGCTATAATTATGCCTCATTGATTTGGTCCATTCCTTTCTAACTTTCGCTTCTTTTTTATATATTAAAAGTCTTATTTTTAATTTGTAGTAAAAATAAATGTGATACGAATTGAATTGCAACCCCGTCTCGAACCGTAAAGGCTAAACCGAAAAGGCTAACGGTACCACAGTCATTGAAAACGTTACTTGATAATCGAGATTATGTAGGTGGAGTTAACGCCTGTCAATCACACGATCGGCCATTCTCGGTTATAGTGAAGAGAGAGTTGACTCTTATTTCTAGTCAAAAATTACAATGGCGATAACTCTGTTCAGAATAAAGTAATTTGACTGAAATTTTCAATATTCTTCTTTCATCATCTGTTTTTGAACTGTTATAGCAAGAATGGACAACTTTCTATTAAAATCTCCCATAATGTATCTTTAACTTGGTGTTAAGCTTTAATTACAGCTATAGGTATTGTTATTGTTATTTGTCTGTTTCATTTTGTAGAACCATGGAAGGAGGAGCTAAGACTGGTTTCCGCCATGTGGAACCTGAGGAATATCGTCCTCGTCTTTTACATTTCTCTGGTCAAAAACGTAATATCACCATCAGGGAGGTAGGCAATTTATTATTTTTTATTTTATATCTTAGACAACCATGCATACATTTAGAAGCCCAAATTATTCTCCCTCACAGTAAAAATAAGAAATTAATGCCCACGTGAAATTAATGTGTGAAGCTTAACACTTCCTGTATCCCCTTGAATAATAAATCAATATGGACATTATAATAATGTAATTAAATTTTTGTGTTTGCTGTGATAGACCCCTGGTCCTAGAACACAAAAAAATATTGACATGTTTTTAACTCTCTTAAAGGGACAATAACACTCTTGCTGGCTTGACAGCTCCAGAAAATAAAAAAATAGCCTTATTCTAAGTACTAGAGGTGTTAGTGTCCTACCTGTTGTGTAAATTATTCATTAAATCCTATTTTACTTGTCCAAAGGGTTCAAAAATATTTTTAAATCCAAGTCACATTTGAAAAGCTTTACGTTAGGCTTTTCAAATCATTTTGTTGAATTTTTCCAATTTTTTAAACTAGGTGTGTTAAGATGAAATTTGTATCATCAATTAATTGGAATATTGTAAAATAGTACAATTTGTTGACCAGAATAAAGATTGAGACATATTATTCAGTTACAACAAGAGTGGTATTGAGCCTTTAAGAGGGCATCATTTTGCCAAATTGATATTTTTGCTACATGAGATAAAAAAAATCTTTTTGTCAAAACATTACTTTTACAGATAACACATGCAGTGGTGTAGTTACATGTCCAACTGGCTAACCTCCCTTTGTAGATTATATATAATGGGGACACTCCCCTATTGGGTGTTCAGGAATTGAATTCTCTCAATTCCAAAAATAGTGTCCATTGAGTGAAAAGGGGGATTTTGGGCTACAACCAACCATGCCAGCTGAAACATATGTCACGATTCTACTCACATGACCTTAGTTGTCAGTATTGGCAGAACTGTGACAGGACTTGATTCTGTGTCACCCCATTGCAATTCTGTCAATTCAGAGCATCCCCACTTTGTAATGTAATTTATTTGTTCTCTTTGCCTAGATTCCTCTGTGTAGAGATCTTGTTAAATCCAGTGATGTATATATTCTTGATAAGGGTCTCAAACTCTTCCAATTCAATGGTGCTGATTGCAGCAAAGACGAAAAATTCAAGGTAGCTATAAAAAATATCATATCACTCATTATTTCTTATTTATAGGTCAGGGTTTATGTAAATGAATCAATATATAAAATGTCATTCTTGGGTCATACCTGATCTGTGGTCTATCTAATCAAGAGATGATCAACAAATTAGGTGTGTTTACTAATTATTATTTAACACAGCTTAATGATTTATTTTAATTACAGGCCATGCAGTATTTGATTAAATTGAAGGGTGAACGAGGTAATGCTGATTCTGAAACATTAGATGAAGCCGAGACATCCAGTAGTGTAAGTACTAGCTTTATATACTTTGTGGTTAATTTAATGATTTTAGTTGATGGTGAGATCTTTCTGTTAAAACCCTAGGAATAAATGGAAAATATATACACAATAAAAAAGTGATCTTACCAAAATTAATGTAATATTTTATGTGGCCGCTATCAATAATTTGTTGTAATTGTCTGTCGAATGAGAACTCAGTTTTATCCATAAATTTCTAGACCAAGGCAGCTGTATCTTCCTTATTTAGCTAAATTACTATCTAATGTCTGATCGTTATTATCTATTATCAGTAAATTATTTATTTGTTGTTTTCCACATTGCATCTTTTATGTTTGATATGTAGCATGCTATAACATTAGAGCAGACACTTCTATATTAGTGAGGTCAGTTTAAACATCTATACCATTTTCTACTTCCAGCATGAATTCTTTGACAGTTTAACAGATAGTGTACCGGAAGAAAATGATAGTGATGATGAAGATGATGATGATGACAACGTTCTTTACAGGTAATAATAATGATATTAATTTAATTAATATATATCCATTTTGGTGTATGTGGCCCTGCAAGTAGAAGAATTGATTTGGTTATTTTTCAGTTTTTCCAGTTTCTGAAAGTCTTCAGTGTCTCCACTCCGATAAGCTCCAACTGGGCTAATGAAGCCTCTCAGTGGCACTATGGCCTACTCTTATATAGAATTCCAACTGCCAAGAGATCTTTTACATGCATGCCATTGTATACACAGGTTTCTTTTTTTTGTACCATCCGAACAACGAGACAGCTGTCCTGGTTAGGCCCTCCATCCTGACAAGGAGAAACCACGTGGAAAAATCTCGAACTTTCTTGGCCAATGCAGGGATCGAACATGCGACCTCCAGGCTAGCGAGCCAGCATCTTACCCGCTTAGCCACTGTGTCTCCCCTAAGCAGAAAAGTAAAGATAACTGTTTATATTGGTGGTTGATTAAACCCACTATATTAGGTTGTTTAAATTTCTTGTCTTGACATTTACAGAACAAAGCAGGCCAACTTAGTGATTTACAGGGTGGGGTTTGGCCTACTGGTCTAAAGTGTCTGCTTAAAATCATTGAGTCAATTGATGTGGTTTAGATTTCACACTTGTTCATGATAAAGTCACCTGCCTAAACATGTATTTTTTTTCTGGGTTCTCCAATTACCTCCCACTGCTAAAGACCCCTATGCACAAGCAAATTATTGAAATAAAATTGTGCCATACATTGGTCCCAAAATGACCTAGTTTGTATTCAGTTGACATTAAACCAAATTTCTGTCACTCTCAATGACTTACAATTTCTATGGGTTAGTTTGGTTCGTTCGTTCGTTCGTTTCTGGGGTTTTACGTCCACTTCCACCTAAGGTGATATCGTAGACAATGTTAGTTTGGTTTAGTTATCTCCCTTTTAAAGTTCTACAGTTTTTCTTTTAATGCAGTTTGATGCACCATTGAGGCTGGTCACCTTAATTTTATGACATATAAATTTCTGGTGTTTACATTACATATATCCTGAATTAAATAATATATATTTTAATATTTATTGCTATATTATATTTTAGATATTCCAGTGGTAGTTTTGATAAAGTTAAAGAAGGTGAACCAGTTACACGTGATGATCTCGCTGATGATGTATGTTATTTTTGATACATTTAGTAACATCTTTATTTTGTTATAGGATTTATTTTGTTTTTTGTACTCCGCTGCTTCGACCATATCTAATGAATCACACCTTAGTCATCAGTCTGCTGAAGTATTGTCACATATCCTGCAATATGTCGACCAAGCACTGAAAGTTTAAGGAACAAACTAGTCAATGGTGCTGGTCAGTAACCTAAGTTGTATTTACAACATGGTAAAATGCTCTTTAACGTCAATATAGGACTGATACTATGACAGCTGTACTCATTTAAATTTGTGAATTACTTCCCTTTCAGTTTTGTTTTTATTCATAAATTATGGAACTTTTGTCATTTTTTCACTTATAAATTAAGTGAAACCTGTTTCGTTATAGACCTAGGATTGTACAATACAGTGGACGTATACAGGTCGCTATCCAATCCATTCTCATAATGTGATAATTCTCTTATGTCTTACAATGTCAGTGTTTTTGTCTTGTGCCTATGTTTGTCTTGTGGGTTTCTTTTTATATTTATGTGTGGTACTACAGCTTGATAGATTATAAAATGATTATACAGTGCTCTCTGTGTGATAATAATTTTAACTTTTATTAGGATGTATTTGTATTTGATTCGGGTAAAGAAGTGTTTGTTGTTGTTGGTAAAAACGCATCTACTGAAGAGAAGAGAAATGGTTTACCTTATGCTCATGTAAGTTTCTTACCTTTATCTTAAATCCTAAATTACTAGAAGTTTAAGATCGATGATCAGATAATTTTAAATATTTTCATATATCACACCAGCATCAAACAGTTTGACTAATTTCGCTGGACTCTGTTAATAACCATTTATCTGGACAAGACATCTGAAGTAATATTGTTAATCATAATGAATAATTAATTTCAATTATTTCTTCTTTTTTTAGACATATCTCTGCATACATGATGAAAAGCGATTTGGTCGTCCAGTTACTGTTGTTACAACTGGACAGCGATGTCCTGCATTAGATGCTGCATTAGCAGCTTAGAAACAAAAATGTATATGTACATAATATTAGTGTTGCCATGGTGTTGCCATGGTTGATAATTACATATTGCCATCGTAACAAGAAGAATCTCAATGGGGACGAATAGAAATGAACAATAGAATAGCTTATTTTCTAATATTAGCCACACTAACACTTATTTATATACTTTAGATATGTTTATAATGGCATGATAAATTATAAACTACCACCTATGCAATAAAAATGGATGTTGTATTTTTATTTTTTGTACTGTATGGTTTATAGTTTGTTAGTTTTGTCTTTTAAGCTTTTCAGTGCAATAGTTTATGTATTAAAATCGAAATTGGTAATAATTAATAAAACATATCGTTCAATTTAATTAAACCTTTTATAAAATGCTTTCTGTCAATACAGATATTCCTGTTTTTTATTTTAATAAGTTTTATTTTGATGAAATCATATGTAATTCACATGTTGAAGTGCTATTGTTATGACCAAATTTGCATATTTTAATAATCTGAATCATGATGTTAAATTTGTCACAAAACAGATTCAGTCATGTTGCTTTCAATAATATTCATTCTAAGTAAACATTCTAGGTAACTTTCACAATATGTCTTTCATTGATGGTGTTTTTGTTTCTTGTGGGTTTTTTTTGCTTTCACAATTTTCATTTTCTTAAGTAATTTATTTTATGCAGACAAATCACTGTGTATTTTTCTCTCTATTTTTTTTGTAGATTTTGTTTATATTTTACTAACACATGGTGCATGTAAAAAATAAAATACAATTATTTTCATGAGAAATATTTAATTTTGTTATTGCTTTTAAACTGTTGTAGACATTTGATTACCTGTTATTCTAAATGTGACCCAAACACTTTTACAGCAAATTGAACCTAAAACCTTGGCAATAAAATCCATACAACTCAAGACTGAGTCAAATGGTATCGCTAGAAGGAATGTTTTAAATTTGACAATATTACCATTACAACCAGTAGTCCCTTCATCTCCCCCTCCCAGCAAATCTTGTGTTACTAAAAACATCAGGGTCCATATTCAAAGGTTTTCTTAAAGTTAAATAAAAATACTTAATTCTTCCACTTAACCAAGTGTCTTATCTTAAATCGGTATTCAAAGGTTCTATTTTAGGTAGACTTGGCTATGTGAAAAACTTAACTGCACACTTAAAATTCGGAATATCAACATTAGCCAAAAAACAAGCATTTTAACTTATGGAATAACCTCCACTGCCAAAAATCACGAATTACTCACATCACACGCAAGTTATGTCCCCTTCAGAGCACCACTATACTCTATTAAAATCTTGTCATTACCAGGAAAATGTTTGTCGAAATATTATATTGTAACGCACGAAAATAGTATGATTATAATTTATGATAAATTATGATGGTACCATCCGTAACCGGAACAGCTGTTTTCGTATAGATGTTTTTCAAAAAAAAAAAAATAAATAAACAGATTTCATTAGCAGTTATCGAATAGTGGTACACGTAGTATAATGGGTGGACCGTATAATGGTGGATATTGTAAACTTTATTATAACAAATAGAAAATAACATATTAGCAATATGACAGGATATTGGCTTTAAAATTAAACTGAACAAATCATACAGTGTTGTTTATCAATCTATCATTTGAAAAATTCCTAGAAATTGTGTCAGTTCCTAAACTTTAGAATCCCAAAGGCCTGACCATGACAGTAAATTGTAAATCATTGGTGGCACGCCTCGGTCAGCAGTCATCATCATATACTTCAAATATTTTAATGGGAATGAATTGTAAAAAATAAACCATGCCTTGCTTCTCGCGGCAGGATTAATATTTTCTGAAATCTACAATGGAATGCCATCGCAATGTCAAATTTACAAATAAATTTAACGCATCAAACTTTATTAATGATTGATTAAACAATAAAAACATGATAGTAACCATTTCGGTGGTAGTAACCTTATACGCTAGTATGGCTCTACAAAATCAAGGCTGATGATGACAAAAAAAAAAATCCCCAAAAACCGTTTGATGCCAGCTGAATTCGGCGACATTGTCTTTGTTTCAATCTCAATTCCCTAACTTTTAAAATCGCCATAACGGGCCTGCTACTACATGATGTACTCCGGTCAAAAGAAGTCATTATAATCTCACTTAACTTTAAGGTACCTCCCATAGGTCACTTAAAGTTAAGTGGATTTTTCTCACTTAAACTGGCCTTTGAATACCACTAAAAGACTAAACACTTAGAAGTTAACGTAGCTTAAAGGGTTAAGCCCGTTAATATTTCGGAGATTAAAACTGCTTGATTTTGTGTTAAAATCCCTTAAAATCCACTACCTTAGGGTAGAGCAACTAACTCAATATATGTGATACGTTTTCAAACTTAAACCCGGCAGTATTCATCTGGAAATGGAGACAGGTGTCCCAAGCTGTATTATACAGTGTCTGGATAAAACCAGACTTTTATTTTATAGAAATAATGAGTAGATGAAATTTACCTTTCATTATCGAGTACAGGCCATGGGTCATTCACCTCTTAACTAACAGGAATCGATTATCAGATCACCCAACGAACAAAATGACCAGAAATCTTAAAAGGGTTACGTGTCTGGATAAGAAGTTTTGAGGTTCACGTTCAAACGACTCAATATTTTGAGCTGAAATTTTGAGACGAGATAAATACACCATTCCTCTATATTTTGGCGCTTAAATTCCATACGTACTCGGACTTTTATTTTCGAGATTCAAATCGGGATAGTCCCTTTAACTTTACGGGAAAATTCGACATTTAACACTGCCTTTGAATACCACTTACCCTTAACTTACAGGAAGTTACGTATATTTAAGTGAAATCTAGCAGTTAAGTGACTATCTAATGTATTTTAGACTTAAGATATCCTTTGAATACGGCCCCTGTAGCCTCTATCGCTTTATAAAACTTTAAGAAAGTGCAATAGCGCCGGTAACTCAGGAAGAGAAGGTTGCAGAGCTCTGAAAATTAATAAGGTTCGTCCTGACATGACTCCAATGCTTCACGCAAGGTTTTCGGCAAAAAGGATGTCATTCACAAACAGGTCGCGGAGCATTAAATAACCACGGGGTTCATTTCATTCTATTACCCAAATCCTGCCAATTGTAGACGGACCGCATATAAAAAAATGATTTTAGAGCTGCCTTTTACAATGCTTCAAGTTTCAACCCAAATTTGAATAAAATCTGTTAAAAACTCTAGACTCTTACACAGAAAATCAAAAGCATTTGTCAGTTATCCTCTCATGACAAATATTTAATAAATCTGTTAGAAATGGGTTACAGCTGTCTTTTCCAATGCTTTTAATGTCTATGTACCAATTTTATGGAATAGACTGTCATTAACTTCAGGGCCATAGACATTTTAAGTGATAGATAATGGCCGAAGACTGTCCATTATGAAAATAGAAAGAACAACTAGGGGTGTTAGGTCATTATCCATCACATAATGAAACATTTTCTTAAATGAGCATCTTGGATTAGATTTAATCCCACTGCAGATTTCTAAGGCCACTGCTTCAGGCATATGCATCACCCAGGTTAGGACAACACATGATTATATACAACAAGTACTTTAAACAGAAGTTAAATCTCATCTAAATCAAATTTTGATGGAGCATCAAGCATCATTCTTTGTGGACACCAGGGCCGTATGTAGGATTTTAAAAGTGGGGGTGCAGCAGAGTGGTGGGGCGCCAAAATAATGCCCAAGTTACCCATTGGAATGTGGGCGCCCTTAAAAAAAGACCGACTGATCAGTGCCTTAAGAGCATCACTGTGTGATCATAATCAAGTGTATTATTTTATGATTAAAAGGTTATCAATTTTTTTTGGGGGGGGTTGGGTGCAATGTACCCCCTGCACCCCCGCTAGATACGGCCCTGGTGGACACTCTACAGGTCACAATTTTTATCTGATTTTGACGAAATTTAAAATATAGGTCTATCTCCTGAAGATCTCGGTTCCTTTCGATACTGGCATGTATCGTACCATAACTTCATGGATTATGGCCCCTGATTTTACGAAAAATCATGTTTTTAGCTTGTGGACATTCTAGAGGTCACAATTTTCGCCCAATTTTGATGAAACTTGATATGCATGTTTATAACCCAAAGATCTTGGTTCCTTTCGATATTTGCACATATCAGATCGTAACTTCCTGAATTATGGCCCCTGATTGTCTAAAAATTGTGACCTGAAGAGTGCATACCCGTAACTTGGGGGCGCTAAGCCCCCCCCCCCCCCCCCCCCCCCCCCGTGAAAAAAATTTTCGACCATAAAAAATAGATATACATTGTCCGTCAATATTACAGCACCCCTGAGAACACTTCCCCCCCTCCCCCCTTGTTGCCCTGGAAAAGTGTCCACAAACAAATTGTGGACAGACAGACTGGGGAGACGACAACATACGTCCACATGAAAATGTGGGCGTATAGAAAACGGGTGAATATATCACTGTTACACACTTCATAAAAAATGGGTGAATATACCACCGTTACACACTTCCTAGATTATGGCCCCTGATTGTTCACAATTTTTTCTTTATTTTAAAAACCGTTAAAATATATCACCATTCCACCATAATGAAGGTTGAATTCGAATTTCAGGAAAATTGAAGGGCCGCTCTTTGTACGCAAATTGGGTAAAAATATGTAATACGAAGGTTGTGGGCCCTCTAGAGGTCACAATTTTTATCAGATTTTGATGAAACTTAAAACATATCTTTATATCCAAAAAATCTCAGTCCCTTTTAATATTTGTGCATTTCAGACCATAACTTTCTGGATTATCCTGCCTGGCAGCCACTAGTTGGGATTTATTGTAGAAATAAAATGATAAAGTACAGAGTTTTTATATTTTGAAATTGTATTTATTACAAGCTATACGATGAAGACATAGCTACTTGTTACTGAGACATCTACTGGTTGGTATCTAAATATACCCTTGTTATATAACAATAATTATAATAAAATATAAATTTACTTTTTTTTTACAAATACTATTAATAATAAAAAATAAATGGAATGAATTTTATTTGTTTGATGTTATAATATATCATGCTGGAATACAGTTTGATGCAAAAAATGAGACAACCTTTCAGTATAAAGTTTTTAATAAAGCAGAATGATAACAATAATGATATGATTTACAGGTTTTATAGAATCATTTCTACTTTTCAATGACATGTCCTCTGTATATAATATTTGGTACCAGTTCTATACTCATTTTATTCAATTAGCATTATCACTAACCTAATTCAAACTATTTAAATTTCACATCTTTAATTAACTGTAATAACAAACACTCCTCTTCTAACAAAATCAATCTAATAATAGGCAGATTAACAGCTTTTCAATTTCTAGAAGTCATTAACATTTATAACAATAGCCATGTGTGGGGAAAAAATTATATAAAAGTCAAACTACTGTATATCATATTTTAAATAAATTGAAGATAATAATACAATATAATGCATATCTATCAAAAAGCTGTATGCGATTTCATACCAAATAAGAAATGGTTTATCTTAAATCAGAAATTGGCTTCATTTATACATGAAGACCTTTTTTATAAATTTGCTGTTAAAAAGATGAATAGGCTTTCAAAAGTCCCTACTATTAACATTAGATTACAGAAATGTTAATAAATATACCTTTACATGAAGGTCTTATATTAATAAATGCAAAATTATCAATTTTAGTCACAACAGGTTTCATTAAGGTAGAAAGATATATAACTTTTCTTATATTTTTTCATAAATATACATGACAATGTGATATACATCACTTGATAACATTTAAATTAATTAACAAATATATATGTACCAGGGATACACAGATAAGCCCACATTAAAATGCTCACATAATCATTTTTAAAGGGATGTTGAAAGTTAATTATTTTAAGCGGCAATGGCTGTCTCAAATTGTTTGTTATGTTTGCCCTCTGACAAAACACAGATAGATTGTAAAGGATGATCACTGTCTTGTAAATATTTCTGTAAATATACAATACAAAAAATATAAAATTTGAGAACATAGAAATTATTGTTTTAAAAATAGAAATGAATAGCAATGCAATGGAAGGAAGAAAATGTTTTATATTAGACCAGTTAAAGATGAATTATGTAAGATTCAGATAAGGAGCTAACAGTTCTCGCTATAATAGTTTAAAAATAGATATTGAAAAATTAATAATTTGAAAATTTCAATCAAATGAATTCATTGTGAGCGAAGTTATGGCTGTTTCAAGAGTCTTGATTGTCACTGCTACCATAGTAAAATAATGTCTCAATTATCCATCTTTTAATTCAATTATTAAATGATGATCTTGTTTCAATCCATTGAAAATTGTGTGCATGCGATAGCTAGAGAGTTGATGATGGTCTTGTCATGTTAATAAATGTCTAATTAATAGACCTTCAATAGGCAAATTTAGCTCTTATATAATGTATCTTAAAGTCATATAGTTCAATACAACTTTTACTACAGACTGACACATCAAATACCATTTTATGGATATTTAATATTCACAGTATTGGCAAAGCACTGATAATTGTTAATATTTTATTGAGAATCTGATAACCTTCAAAACAAATACAGTAGTAACGTTTTAATCATTGAATATTTTTACACATTTGGACAGATTATTTTTGAAAAGAATTCAGTGTTTGGATCATTCTTCGAGAAAAGAGACAGGGAAATGGGGTTTAATGTCCACTCGACACAAACTAGGTCATTTCAGGACTAACATATGGTTCAATATCATTTCAATAATTCGCTTGTGCGTAGGGTTTTTTAGCAGTGAGAGGAATCCGGAGAACACGGAGAAAACCCACAAATTGGACAGGCAACCCTACTCCTTGTCATGTACAACCGGGGAATCGAAACCACGTCAGCTGACTCAATGACATACTTTATGATACAGTGCGCACGTGCTAACCATTCGGCGATCCAACCCCCCCATTCCCCGAGAATGAGCCATAGCCAATAAAATGCAGATATTAGGTGCATAAAAGTATATATTGAGATAATCCTAGAGGATTTCCCAATCAAACATAATATCTCAACAAGCTGCTATCATCAGTCTGCGGACAGAGTAATATAAGTCCAGTCGCCACTTTCACGTTAATGAGTTAAAATACACTTACATGAGCATAAGTCATGGCATTTTTCTTCTCGTTAGATGATGTCTTTTTACCAACCCATACATAAACTGTTTCTTTGGTATCGAAAATAAACACGTCCTGATAATAAAAAATAAAATCTCATTTCTTATCATGTTATCTTGAATGATTTTCATTACAAAAAAATTCTATCAATTGAAAAGTCCACCTGAACAGAATTTTAAAAATTCTACTTCCTACAATTATGTATGTATAAATAATACTTACTTTACTGTCAAAATCTTTCTTTGATATTTCTCCTGATTTCTCTTCTGAGAACGTCAGCTTACCAGACGCATCAGACAATCTGTACAAAAAAAATACAGATAATAACTATAAGCACTATATCTTTGTAATGGATCATTGAGTAAAGTCCTGTGTACACATTGACATTCACGTAAAAGAACCCTGAAACCTTGACATTCGGAATACAAATATGATTAGGCTGTAGCACTGCCGTCAAGGCAAATTTTCCCCCAGAGCACTCGGTATGGCGAATGCCATGCCCATTTTCATTAGCCCGGATGGAGCAGAAAAGTAGGATGTTAAGCCCATTCATTTCTTTTCAACTTTTTAATATGGTACATATTTTACACAGAAATATAAGTTGTAACACTGAAATGATTATAAAAATCTTTACCAGCAAAGTACAAGTATGGTGATTGTCATTAAAATCAAGTCCACCTCAATAGTATAACATAATGGACCTTTAAATCACATGGTGAATTTCTATTGGCTATATTTTCCATGTAGTGGTTAATTACTAATCATGAGAAAATAATAATTTGAGACAATATAATCTTAGCATCTGGACTCCGGTTGAATTTAGCATGTAAAATAGCTCATTTTTTTTAGACTGATGAATAAATAAAAATACATTCTTAAATCTGTTTAATAAGAATTCAATAATACAAACCTGAAGAGTTGTTTTGTTTGATCAGCTGCAACATATGATGGTCCATCAGTTTCATCTCCTTCTGTTAATGTAGAAAATATAGGATGCTGAAAAAACAGAAAGAGATTTGCTCAGACATTTCTTAATCAACAAACAAAATTTCAATAACGACAATATTTATAAAATTGAGCCTGTCAACATGTTTATAAACTAAAAAATTGTACAGGTAAACACTATTTAAAACTAGTTTATTGACCCAATTCCAACTGTTGTCACGTGTCACTGGAATTTGGCATGGGAGGCTTTATAACTATTGGGTATTATCAATAACTGTTTCTCGGTGTATTTGGTGTTCTATCTTGTGGTTAAGTGAGAGGGATGTAATGACAAACTTTGCATCATTTGCGTCATGGTTTTGAGTTTTTGCGCCCCCTGAGATTTTGTGCCCCTCTCGCAAATGGCAAAAAATCACGCAGATTCAATGCGGTTTTTGACATTATAATCATAATCATAATGCTTAACCAGTGTCAAACATATACCATGGGTCAGATATGCTACAAATCGACTCTAGCTTGTTCCATACAGCCCTATTCTACCCGACGGCACCTGTAATAATTTAGCCAAAAGTAGATTGATTTATGATACCATAGTGGCCAGTTCATTGTTTTACCAATCGGCTAGATTAAACATCAATTGGCTAAAGCCAACAAAAAACAACCGGTTAAGAACAGTCGTTGAAATTTGCACTTTATCAACAAAAGTAAGGACTGAAATGTTTTCTTAATCAACAAACATAAATGCTGAAATGTGTTCTTATTCAACAAACATAAGGACATAAATGTGTTCTTAATCAACAAACATAAAGAATGAAGAAATATGTTCTTATTCAACAAAAAATAAGAACAGAAACTGTTCTTAATCAACAAACATAAGGAAAGAAGAAATGTTTTCTTTAGATAGTAATCTATAGTAAATATAAAAATTGGATAGGATCATCTTTTTCATGGGTTCTTCATTAACTGACAGAAAGAAATGACATCATGAAATCAATAGAAAGCAATTGTAACTTTAATTCGATGGTCATAACTTATGTCAGGATTGATCGATTGATTTCTAAAATTTTGGACCAAAATGATTTTTTTTTGATAAGGCTAATTTTATGGACTAAAATAAGCATACAGATTATTGCTAGATCAACTTACATCAGCTTCAGTAAACTCTTCATCTAATGTCTCTATTTTAGCTTTACCAGATCTTTCAGCTGCTATATCACGACAGTACTGCATGGCCTGTAATATAATAAGATCTTTTAAAATCAGAGTTCAGTCTATAGCTTTACAAATATTTCATTTCATTTCAGCTTTTACAATAATCCTGTCCTAAAAAAAAAGGCGTTGTTGTTATAGTTTCTTTAAGAGAGTAAGTAGGCCTACCTCCTGTAAAACCAGCTTATCCCATTACAAATTTGCTCTATGATATAGGCCTATCCTTTGAAAAATTAGGATATTGTACAAAGAAAGGTAGGCAAGTTTCCATTGAGGACGGAAGCTATAAATTCCTTTGGCAAGACTGACCAACCAGTTTGACATTCTAAGGGCAAAAATGAAGCCAATTCCTTGCTTGTTTTAAAAATATGTACCATCTTGTTTGGCCTTTAAACTTATTGTCTGTTGTCTAGATTATCTCCCCTAATCGTTTATTAGATATTTGGCTTATGGTTAATCCCATTTGTCAATGGGGACTTCAGTCATTCGGGTCTGTATTTAACATATAATATATATAAATTACCTTGAATCTTTCATCTTTATTACTACCTTTACCATTCCACTGATAAATATTTAAACCAGCATCCATTATATAAACATCATTAGAATCAAGACGACTTCTTGAACGGGGAATCTAGAAATTAAACAGATATTGACAAACAAAATTCAGTGTTTTATATCAATTCAAATATATATGGTGTTTATTTATATTGATATATACTCTTCAAAAAAAGAAGGGGATATTCAGAAACAATACAAAACTGCGGAAATGCACTGCTGTTTTTATTAGAGGCAACCAGTGTATGTTAATAACAGGCTAATTGCCTACACATGAACATAAACAGTTCATATGGGCTCATATCTGACAGCCCCATTTCACTTGCAAAGAGATACACTGTCAAAAGTGAAAATTGACGCGAGTAATTGCTCCACCAATCCTCAGACATTCAGCAATTTGTCGACGCATGCTGATAATCAACCGTCCAATCACGATTGGGGCAATCTGACCCACTCCTCTTGCAGTGCCACGCCCAATTCTTGCAGTGTTGTCGGTTGACGTTGAGGAACACACCTCCCGATCATGTCCCAGACATGCTCTATTGGGGAAAGGTCAGGACTCATGGCTGGCCAAGGCATATGGCTAATATGGTGACGCTGGAGGTAGTCATTCACGACACGAGCGCGGTGGGCACGGGCATTATCATCTTGATAAGATGAAACATCGACCTGCACGTTGAGCAAAGGGCAGAACTATCGATGCCAGGATGTGGCCATGGTAGTACATACCAGTGACCCTTCCTTGAACAATATGCAAGTCCGTTCTGCCAGTCATGGTGATTCCTCCCCACACCATAACAGACCCACGCCCGAATCTGTCATGCTGATCACAGACTGTGACACATTAAGCATGTTGGCTACTGCTCGCTGTGTAGAACCCATTTGAAGCATGCCAATAGGAGCAGAACAGAAGGACGTTAAATAAAATAAGACTATCAATTTATTTAGTCTTATATTAAAAGGATTTTTTTTTTCTAAATGTGAATTAAATAATAACTAACTTACCTCGTTGACATTGACACCTCTTCTATCGCCATGGAAATGAAAAAGTCGAGGTGTGTATTCTTCAGGTTTAACTTTTCTAAATCCTGTATCGGCGCCACCATTGAGTATTCTGTAAAAGTAAAACATTGCCTATAATTTTTCTTAATGAAAAACAGAAAAAAATGATACATTAGGCCACACAAAATAAATGTCTTGTTTCTCGGGCAACTGACAGCTGAAACTGTAGGGAGGGAGGGCGGTTTCTTTTTTTTTTTTAATCATTGATGGTGCAAAATAAAATTTGGCTATTGCTGAAAATTGTTGGGGCGGGAGGGCGGTCTTTCTTTTTTTTTTTTTTTTAAATGAGAAAGTCATTACTTGTTTACGTTTTTGCTTTCCGTTATATTCAACTTTATTGTACATACTTAAAACATAAACCCAAAATCAAGTCTACTAAAACACTGAGACTGAACACTGACTGAAAGGAAAATAATTTTCCATATTTAATTCACATAATTGGATTGGTTTAAAATAAAATTCCATACGACTATGTAATAGCCCTCCATAAAGACAACAATATTTTTAAAAACTAAGCCTCTTTCACCAGGTGTATCAAAAATAATAATCATGGTAAACAGTATTTAAAACTAAATCTAGTATCGCCGGTTTATTTATAATTATTTACCGAATTCCAACCAATGCATGTCACACCGTGTCATCGGTATTGGAGATTGCCGGAAATACTGTTTCTTGGGATATTCGGTGTGTTTCTCAGGATATTCGGTGTTCTATCCGGTGTTTATATTGAATGACTATTTAAATCTAACTAACAACTGGTCAGTAAAACCATCAAATCGGTAATCCAATTATTATTTTCCGGATTATCGAAACTACCGTAAATGTGCTAATAATGACCCAGATTCTAAGGTATGCATTATGACGACTATCGTCATCGTATCGTATTCTTAGCTATAATTAATTAACCTGTTCTACGGTTCATTATTTTATCAATAGGATTTTCCAAACAAGGACCGACTGAAGCCGGCAATAATGAGCCGATTACGATCGAATGATTGAAATATTGTCGCCAATGACTTTTAACACGAATCAAATTCTAGTTTATCAGGGGAGGTAATTAATATCACGTGATACAAAATGGAGGTTCTTTCGATATCAATAAAAAAGGCAAATCTGCCAAACTTCGCCATTGTTCGGATAAAAAAGACAGCATGTTCATCTGAATCAGTTTTAATACATTTGAATAGATATACATGTATGGCGGATGTAGGTACATGCGGGATATTTTTTTTACGACTTGCTTGTCGATGTGCGGGCGGGCGTTACATATTTATTTTTTTTCATCAAGACTAATAAATAGACGGCACGCGCAACCAATTTTGCGTGCGGGCGGTGCCCGAGAAACAAGTTATTTTATTTGTGTTGCCTTAATAACAAAAGTTGCTTAATACTATCATTTCAATTCAAAATAACAGTTTCTTTTAACTTAGGAGCTAAAACTGTATTATACATGTACTTACGTAATAGTTTTAAAATAGGATTTAAAGAGTTCTGATTCATGCCCCTGTACTTCTCTATGTTGTACTGGTACATCATCTAATAGTGTATCTAATTCTACTGTTTTATATGCAGCTGTCCCATACTCATCCTAATAAATATACATGTTTATTAATCTATATAAATTTAGTATAGAGCTGTACCATATTCGTCCTAATAATATACACATTTATAAAGAGAGAGAGAGAGAAATGGGGTTTAACATCCACTCGACACAAACCAGGTCATTTCGGGACTAACATATGGTTTTTAATTTTATTTCAATAATTCGCTTGCGCGCAGGGGTCTTTAGCAGTGGGAGGAAACCGGGGGACCCGGAGAAAACCCATGAGGTTGGACAGGCGACCCTACTCCTTGTCACGTACAACCAGGGATTCGAAACCACGCCAGTTGACTCAATGACAGGCTTTATGATACAGCATGCGCATGCTAACCATTCGGCCATCCAACCCCCCACACATTTATAATAAATAAATATATAATTTTATTTCTCATGAAATCTTGTTTCTCTCTTTTGTACCAGAATGATCAAAAAGATCCAAAGGAAAACAAATCACTTGAGGTTTAAAGTCCAGATTTTAGTTTGCATACTGGTAATAACTAAGGCTGTGCAAAAATATCGATATAATCGATAATCGGTAGAAGTTATTTAGCGATACGATAATCGATATTGAAATTCAAATATCGATTATCGGTATATTTAGCTTCTGACGGCAAGTTACGATCACTTTCACATGACTGAACAGTGAACTTGCCGTAGTCTGGCATGCAGATGAATGAACGAATACACAACGTCAACACAACAACTATTTTCCCCCCTCTGCTTACAAACTGGCACATTTTAAATATATATTATTGTAAAAAAACTAAACTTTAAGATTAAATACATTATTTTAATATTTTCGTTGTTTTTGTTGTTATTACTAGTTGAAACTAAAAAAGGTCACGAACTTTGTGAACAATGTCGATCGCGCGTGATATAGTAAAATTAGAATTATCTCCCTTCTTTGCTCTTGATTGATTTGTAGAGAAATTGTCTGCTTTCACGATAAAACTAATTGTATTATTAATGATCAACTCAGCTTTTATTACTAAATCATGTCAGATACAGCCCATACAAAACACGTTTTTGACTTCCCGGGAAAATATCTTTATCTCTCGTAATTTCTTGGAAGAATTCTACTTTGGTTTTCGTCAAAATTAACCAATCATAAAAATTCTACTTTGAAAGCCGGTAATTATTTTTGTATTGTCCAATCAATAGACACCTTCTATTATATTTTATTCTATTATTAGTAACACTGTGTGATCGCCAGTAACTTGCAAAGAGAAACCATGTATTGTCTTTGTATTTATCGGAGATATTGAAATAAAAAAAAGGTTCAAATGAATCAAGAACAAAACTTAGAATAATACTCAAGTTAATCCTACATTTAGCAACTAATTATTTTACATTAATTGATTTTTTTACGTACATCGGCACAGTATTAGACTAGGATAATAACACTACTGTAACTCGATCAACACAAATAACAGGTCGGTAAAGTTCGATTTTTCTGGAAGAATGATAATCGATTATTATCGATAATCGCTGACAAATTCTTGCCGATAATCGATATTGAAATTTCATATCGATTCCCAGCCTTAGTAATAACAGATTGGAAAGGGGAAAAGGTCATTTACTTCCTCTAACATTGAGAGATAAAAAATGAGGAAATGAAATAATTGGAGTTGTATGTCCTACTTTTCTCCACCTTTGGCCTGAAAGATATTTTTTGGTATTCATTATAATATATAAATATATACCTGTGTACTGAATTTGCCAATCCAGAAATGAACATCAAATAATAATTCATTTCCACCTTCCTCTTGGTATGTCTTAAAACAGAAAATAAATAGTTACATATTAATTAAAAGATTTAACATTTAGATGTATGGGGGAAAAATCCTAACGACATCTAAATTTATTTGTATTCGGTTCAGAGTAACTCAAGCTCTTGTGGCACCATTATAATATAAAAGCCTATATATAACTACCATTCATAATTTATACTTTTCGCCCTTTCAAAACACGAAAGTCGAAAAGTAGAAGTTTCGAGAAAATGTGTGGCGATAGCATGCTATACAAGCCAAAATCTACTCGAAAATAGGAAATTAAGAAATAATACACCGCGATAATATCACCCCTCGTTTTTTCCTAATTTCTTATTTTCAACTTGCATTTTGGCTTGTGTACCATCTTGTCGACTTTTTATTGATTGATGTCAGTAAGAAGGTGCCAACACGTATACCAAGCCATAATGCAACTCGAAATGTAGAAATTAGGAAATCAACACATCGCGCTATTAGCGACCTATCATGTGGGAAATTTTGCCCAGACAGCGGCACTACGGCCCACTCTTATATGGAATTCCAACTGTCAAGGGATCTCTTACGTGCATGCCAATGAGTACACGGGACCTCAGTTTTTCGTACCATCCGAACGACTAGACAGCTGTCCTTGTCAGGCCCTCCGTCCTGCATTACTGACAAGGGGAAAGCACGCCGCAAAGTCTGGAAGAGAAAGAGGAAGAGAGAGAGCGAGAGCAATGTGGTTTAGCAGTGGGAGGAAACCGGAGGACCCGGAGAAAACCCAGAAGGTTGCACAGGCGACCCTACTCCTTGTCACAAAGAGAGAGAGAGAGAGAGAGAGGGAGAGAGAGAGAGAGAGAGAGAGAGCATTAAACCACTAACCCCCATGTAAAACAGATTTTATAAGTTGTATATTGTATATATACTGGTATGGGATAATTGTTTTACAATAGGCCTACAAGTAAGATATTAATAAATACAAAAATATGACAAAGTCGACAAGACCGCACACAAGCCAAAATGAAAGTAATTAGGAAAAGACGACCGGGCGCTATTATCGTGGTGTAGTATTTCTTTATTTCCTATTTTCGAGTCGATTTTGGCTTGTATAGCGTGCTGTCGCCTCACATTTTGTCGTAACTTCTATTTTCGTGTTTTGAAGGGGCGGAATCCTAAAATATGGAATGCTAACATGTATCCCTTAAAATATAATATTTATGTTTGTATTTTTACAGAGGGGGTCTATAGGCTTCTGCCTCTTCTCCAATCTAGTTTCTGTGAATAAATATTGTATAAATCAAATATATAATGCACTACTTTATCAAAGCAATTGTCAATGCACTTGAAGAAGAAATCTGTTCATGTTTCCGTATTCCTTTTATTTTCTAGTTGAGCAGACATACTATGCAGATTATCAGTAGATTATGAAAAATCTAATGTGCACTGTTATCTGCTAGTTCCACAAAATGTCTCCCTCTAATAGTAATAGGCTAAGGAAGCAATCTGATTAAAATATAGACATATATTTTGTTTCAATGGCCTCTACTACATGAAGATATTCATGTTTCTACTGGGTTATCAACAGTTCCGTGCACCTTATGCCAATAACTCGCCGTAACAGACCATTTCATTGGCTAATCGCTCACATTATCCAGAACGCGGGTTTTATAAGGGAGTGAACTCTGTACAACACCAAACAGTTAATGAGCTGATAATACCTGTTTCCATTAAAGAGTAAACATAATATTTTTTAGTTGATAAATAATACATATACTTACATTCAATATAATATAAGAATCACCGTTGTAGAATTTACCATAATCTTCTTTTGGCCAGGAAGTAACTTTAAATTTCTGTCACGAAAAAAAGAAAGTATGATTTATTTCAATTCCTATTTTATAAGTTTACCTTTCATGACGATGAATAAATATGATCATGTCCTGAAAAATATGCTTCATTTTAAAAAATAACGGGCAGTTTAAAGGTGGATGTATGTTTAACCTTTAAACTCAACTCATCCTGCATTCACTTTATTAGAATGAATAAAATAGGTGACTCCCCTAAAAAATTACAATAACTATTTTACGTGAATGACGAATAGGAAATAAAGTTATTGTAAACCACTCTGTGATAATAAGGCAGTAACTATATATAATGTGCATACATTGATCTATTCATCATGTGGGCACAAATAAATAGTACTGACACCGTACATTGTGATTTCACAAGATCACGTGTGTCCATAATTTAGGTCACAGTGGGTAAATATTAAGGAAATATATTTAAATAAAATTTCCTTATGTTATCTTCCCTAAGACCTATTGAATGTCATATTTGCCTAGTAAAAGTTTATCTGAAAACAAATAATGTTTAAACTTATCAGTAGGCTATAAAACCGTAGAGGTCAAAAATTAAATTAGCTAAAATTATATTTTATTGAAATGTTTAAAGTTATGTAATGACCTGAAAAATTCAAATTGACACAAATTACCTAGTAAACCCTCAATAAATTAAACAGTGCATCAATGACATTACTCACATGCTATAATCAAGCGGTGAGGGCACTGGACTCCCGAGTAGAATGTATAAGTGTTGAATGCAAAGAACCATATGATTTTTCAAGCCGCATTCCCACCAACTAACAAGGAAAGTGTTGCCTAATATGATGTTCATCCATGTGCACAATGGAGAATACACATAACAGAAACCTTGATGGTTGGAATTTGATCAAGAATAGGTGGAAATGCCACTGTCTGGGCAAAATTCTCCTCCCTAGCATTGCATATGTAACCACATATACCGGTAGTATGTTAGTTTTAAAATGATCTCATCCCTACATAATTTGTAGATTGTTAAAAAAGTTTCCCTTGAAGTATTGTAAGAAAAAATATAATATGTATCTAAGAATTTATTCAAATTGTAATATTTTGTTTATGAATAGAAGTCCATCATTCAAATTCAAATGTAAATGTTGTGCAATGTGTCAAGTTTCATAATGTACCAGATTAATTCATCTTGCCCTTAAAGCAATACTCTTATACTCATCAAAAGTGAAATATTGCACAAGCAGGTGTAATGGAAGATATTTCATACGGATTTCTACAGATGTTAACCTTTCTTTCATAATAATTCATATGTACCAATGATAATACTGTACAATAAATTATCTTTCTATGGTCTTTTAAAACATATTTATACTAATGTTTTATTTTTGTGATCAGTACATGAATTCTCAATCAATGCAATACCACACGAACATATTTGAAGATACTTTGCAAAAATTCTATCCCTTATCAAAATTGACTGGCAGACAAAATTTTGAAGTTGAAGTCCTGTGCCGATACCTTCAATAACAAATTTTCTGTAATTTGAGTGTTTAGAACATAGTATTGGGTATTGTGACAGGGTGGATAGTAAGTACTATCTAGAAAGAAAGCATACCCTGCCTTGGAGACGTTACCCATTACTACTTAATAAAGCCTGCTTATCCATCATTATTTAAACCTCAATCTCTCCACATGAGAGAACCACTAATAAGGATAAATACATGCTTTATGAATAGTTTGGATCTCAGTTTCAGAAACCTAGTCTTTCAACATGCCAGATCCACTATGAGTATAAATACATGCTTTATGAACAGTTTGGATCTCAATTTCAGGATCCCAGTCTTTCAACATGACAGATCTACCATGAAGATAGATATACTGTATGAATAATTTGGATCCGGATTTCAGAAGCCCAGTCATTCAACATGACAGATTTACCATGAACATAGAAATAAGAATACATGTAGTTTGGATCTAAAAGACTCCATTTCACAAACCAGTTATTCAACATGACATATCTACCATGAAAAAAGATATATGAATAGTTTTAATCTTGGTTTTAGAAGCCCAATCTTACATGACTAATACTATACATATGCTTTATAAATACTTCAATATCTTAGAGTATTAGCTTCTATAATCAGCTAGATAGATATTTGGCATTTATAACACTTTCACAATGATAACCTTTACTATAAACAGATAACCTTTAATGATAGATATATGTGACATAATAATACATAATGATAACAATATTTGGTTGCATAACACAACTTATTTCTAAACCCACATACAAACTTCTTTATCACCACTGGGAATTAAGGTTATATATGGCTAAAATGATCCCTGTAGTATTGAGTTTAAGTATATAGGAAGCATTTCATATTATCTTATCATACTGATATGCCGTATCTAAGAAAGGCAATTTCACAAGGTTTACTGAAAGCCTTAGGCAAAATACTGCATTTATTACTCATTGGCTCATTTCAAATGGTAATGAAGGTTACATTTTGTTTCTTTTGGTTTCATCTAACTGGTTTGTCTATTCTTTGTGTATATGGCAATGTGGTCTTCCTGCCTGCTTTTACGTGCATTAATGCAGTATTCAATATTGATAGAGAAAATTGCATTCATTATTTTGTGACATATGATGTGCAAAAATAAAATGATAAAGCATGAAAGGTCGTTTAAAATATACCATGTTCATGTTTTTACAAATCCTTTAAATTTATTTTCGCTACAAGTATTTTCGTAGCTTTATTGGATATGTATTTATGGATTTTCAAATAAATATAAATCCTTCCTGTAAAATCAATAAGGTTTACTCTCACTAATGGTATGTTCTATCTATGGCTAAATCTCCCCTTTCATTTTTTAATATCCATCATATCAAATACTGTTTCATGTTACAGTCTCCTTAATTAAAAATTTATATTATCATATAACAATCGGTGTTCTATAATACAGAAATAAATCTGATTAACAGTCAGGGAAGTCATACCTGTCATACCAGTCAGGTACATATCTATTCTTGTTATTGGATGTTGCATGTTATTTGTAACACAGAAGAATATAATCAAATGGCTATAAGGCCTCATAAACCCTGTAGAGAGGCTGTATTTAATTTTTTGGAACTTCAATTACTAGAGTAGCTCATGGTAGTTTTGTATGCACTTATATGTCCAGAGCTAAACTCTTCAAAAATCATCTATTTGAAGGTCATTGAACATTTTTTGATTGGTGACACATTGGTCACCGGGGCCGAAATACGTGAAAATGCCACGCCCCTTTTTAAGCGCAGCACTACCCCCTGCCATTACTGTATCTCTAGAACCGGTGGACCCAGAAGGTTGTGTGACCACTCAAAATCTTCGGAATGGCCACATTATAGGGGGTCTGTAATAAATTTATATGTTTAAAAGTCAATAGCTTTTAAGATATTTGCCAAAAACTGATTTATTATTATATAATTTACTCATTATTATATTACTTGTTGCAATTTTTTTCATTTGTCTATTTTAGAATTCAATAATGTGAATTTTTTACACTTATTGCTCTTACTACAGTCACAAAATATTACATATTTTATTTTCATTCTTCTGCAAGTGCATTAAAAAACCCTTGACAGTCGGAAATCTAACAAAAAAAAGGGGAGTTATCCCCTTAATACTGATTTCAAGAGGGTATGAACCTCCCGGTTGATGTTACTATATAATGGCAGGATTTCATTATAGTTGAATTGTGCATATTACAATCATCTTAAAGTGTTTTTGTAATAACTGCATTATCTACAATTAAATACGCTTAGCCAAAATATTTTTACAGGAAATGTTAGTGATTTCAAGGTCAGCAGCCAAGGGAGCTTTTGATGGGACTGCATGCGTTATATGCAACTCTGCAGGAAAAACTTTAACAGGAACTAATGATGGGTGTGTTAAAATCCGAATGGCAGCAGAACAATTGCAAGATTCTTTAGTTGCCTCAAGAATAAATGCATACAGCAAGACATTTATGTACCATCTGAAGCCGAAATGTTGTTATTCTACTTACATTCTGAAGTCGAGAAGATCTGCCAAAACAAAAAAGTGAGCCAGAACTTGTTGAAGAGGTTGAAGAGGGAGAAAGCAGTGACAGTTATAACGTCGCCAAACGACGAAAGAAGAGTTCTAGTTCGAGTTACAAAGATATTGAAAGAAAGTGTGTTATATGTGACAGAGTAAGAGAGAGTTGTGGTGATAGGGGTCGGGTACTGTATCGCATCTCAGAGTCTGAAAGAGCAGCATTGTTTCTAGATGCTTTGAACTTTTATAAAGACGAAGTTAAGACAAGGTGTGCTTTTTTTGATGAAGCTGGTGATGTGTTTACTACAGATGTATTCTATCATGGGAATTGTTTACGACAATACTTGCTAAAGTATAATAGTAAATTATATAATAATAAATCAGTTTTTGGCAAATATCTTAAAAGCTATTGACTTTTAAACATATAAATGTATTACAGACCCCCTATAATGTGGCCATTCCGAAGATTTTGAGTGGTCACACAACCTTCTAGGTCCACCGGTTCTAGAGATACAGTAATGGCAGGGGGGAGCGCTGCGCTTAAAAAGGGGCGTGGCATTTTCACGTATTTCGGCCCCGGTGACAAATGTGTCACCAACCAAAAAATGTTCAATGACCATCAATTAGATGATTTTTAAAGAGTTTAGCTCTGGACATATAAGTACATACAAAACTACCATGAGCTACTAGAGTAAATAGGAAGTGGGGGGGGGGGGAAATTTCAATTGCCTGGTTTCCATTCCATTAGAAGAGCTAGACAGAATCTTTGCAGGACTCACAAACCCTGTCATTAAGTAAATGGGACTGATTTTTAAAATATTGACAGTTCTTTGGAAACAATTGTGCCCAGTGTACCCAGTCGTGAATTATCTGTAGTTCAAATAAAAGCCTTCTATAAAATAATTGTAATGCAAACATAAGAGATATTTTTGATATTTACAAAGAATAATTACTGTTTACTTACCACTATTCTCCAGATTTGAATACCAACATTTTTTCCTGCATTCTTCCATGCTGGTTCAGTTTCTGCCGATTCCTCTAAAATAATGATTCAACATACATTATGCAAGAGCTAAATCTGCCTATTGCATGTCTTTCTTTAGGACTGGAATGTTATCTAAATCATTAATTAGACATTTATTAACATGAAAAGATGTCATCGATAGCCTGCAATATTTCCTGGATTTGAATCTGATTTGCTGCTCAATCCTCATTGACGATTTAATGCAAAAATGAATAATTGAGACTATGTTTTTTATCGTACTGACTTTATCAAGGCTAGGCCTAAAATTCAAACGCTAAAATTTTGGTTCAGAGTGGATCAATTTGACTGAAGTTTTCAGCAAATTCCCTTTACATTATCTAGTTTTTAACTATTATAGTGAGAACTGCCAGCTCTTTATCTAATTTCCCATAATGCCCCTTTAAAAAGCTACATGCCTCAAATGTTTGGGGTTTTCTTAAAAATATTTCCCAAATCAATGATTTACAGATTTTGTCATTTTAAATACAGCTTATACATAAAAACGGACATCGCTGAGCAAAGAAAGCACTAACTAAGTATTAAGTATTTGAACTAATGTACCTTGTACTTGTAGTCTCAAATCAAGTAATTGTAAATACTATGGATATAATATACTTACTTTTAACTTGTTTTTCTGTATCAGAACCAAATAAAGCTAAATTAGAATCCTTCCAGTCATATTCTTTTGCTTTTCTTAATCCTTAAATAGAATTTCAAAAATATTAAAATATGTCATATACACTTTTTGTTCATTGGGTCAAATCTTGTGATAATTTCAAGGTTTGTAAAGCCCAGCCATCTATTGCAAATGATTGGCTTATCATTTAGAAAACAAATCTTGGAGAATCTTAATGACTCAACAACAAAACACATACTTATGGAAAACAGCTACTAGTGCATTTAAGGCGATGTTTCGTAGAGTATTCTCTCAACATACTTTTATTCAAATTATCCAAACCGATTAATTTTTTAATTTATGTCATGCCTATTTATGTGTACATTGATTTCTTGAGATTCTAAACAGTCATCTTAAATATATCTGACAAGCTAGACCAATATTTACAAAGTATTTTTGTAATACGCAAACTTGCAAAATTCCTTTTCAAGACATGTATTATTTTAATTTTAATTTTTTTTTAAAATAATACATATCTTTGACTATTGAGATATATGTGAACAATCTGGACTTTTGTATGTAAAATACTTAATACATATCATTTAAAGATTTCACTTCAAGCATAACTATGTCCTCTATTACATACACAAAACTTATCTGAAAGTAAGATTCATTCTAATCACTAGAAAAAATTAAACCGAAATTGATTGAGGCTTGAGGATATTTTCTAAGCAATTTGAAGGCACATATATTAGTATGAGGGGGTTGCTTTAATTTCAATAAACTACAGGTCACACTGATTTAATGATGTACCGAAAAAATATTATTTGAGTCTTCAATGATATCAAATATATCCTAAAACCTGTTGATACTGTCTGGTTTTAGGGTGGTCAAGGTACATGTAGTTAGAGACATGGACCATGGTAGAGATAAAAGACTTGCCTGTCATGCTGATAATAATAAGTTTCTATTTCTTCTTGATAAAATTAGGACTTCCTGTATCCAATATCTGAAGAGAAAAAAATATTACAAGTATAAAAAATAATTACCCAACAAATAAATCAACAATATTTGCTCCATATGAAATTGTTATAAGATTTCTATGAGCTATGAAATTTATATTCACACATTCTGATTAAAATACAGATCTATATTTCGTTTCATTTCTTATACTTCCGATAGCCTCTACTATGTATAAAGATCTGACCAGTTGTAGTGGAAGGTTGTGTCAGGGGTCATACGAATGGCTTTTGACCCTATGGCGTCAAGACATTTAAGTAACCAATCAGCATTGATGTTTCTTGCTGCAACAGACCGTTTCATTGGCTAATTCCTCACATCATCCAGAAAGTAGGTTATAAACAACATTAAAAACTGTTATCTGATCCAGAATATTTTTTTTGTTTGTATTCTAGCCTGTATAGTCTTACTAGAAACTCTAATGCAATAGAAATGAAATGATGTTTAAAAGGGCATTATTGAAGATTTGATAAAGAGCTGGCAGTTCTCACTATCACTATAATTGTTAACCAGCGGCTGCCAGGCAGGATACGCCCACATTTTGCAAGAGATGAATAGAGAACAAGCTACAATCCGATATGCGCGAATATCGACAGGAAATAAGATCTTTGGGTTATAAAGATATATTTCAAGTTTCATTAAAATGGGATGAAAATTGTGAGTTCTAGAGGGTCCACAACCTTGATATACCATATATTTACACTATTTGCGTATGAGGGGTGGCCATTTTGTCTGGCAGTTTTGGTCCGATTTTCACGATCATTAGGGTGTAAAGGTGATATACTAAAACGTTTTTTTAAATCAGATAAAAGTTGTGATATCTAGAGGGACCACAAGCTAAAACGCGATTTTTCGTACAATCAAGGGCCATAATTCAGGAAGTTACGATCCGATATGCGCAAATATCAAAAGGAACCAAGATCTTTGGGTTATTAAGCAACAAATTGGATTCAAATTCAGTGAAAATCCAACACATAAGATGGCATCGTGAGTTGATTAAGGTCTTTTCATGTTAATAAATGTCTAATTAATAGTTTATATAACATTTCAGGCCTAAAGAAAGACCTGCAATAGGCAGATTTAGCTCTTGCATAATGTATGTTTTACATCCTACTTTTCGTTACCAACCTAGTGTAGTAGAACCTGAGTATTGGAATTGTTTTTACGTGCATACAAGACAAATATCTTGTGAAATATGGTACCACACAAGGCGGTAAGGGGGTTAAAAAGAAATTTTTGAAACAATTTTTTTTTCTAAGTCAAATATTATGTGAAAATATTGTGTAGATGTGTAGAAACACCACAGACGAAAAACAGTCTCAAAATTATTGTTAAGTCAAAAATCTGGTGAGGATAAGATGGTCTGAGAAGAGGGAGAAATTTTTGAAAAAATAGAATTTTTTTTATGTACAATATCTTGTGGAATATCTTATGTCCAATATCTTGTAGTAAAAAACACCACAGACCAAAAACACTATCAAAATTATTTTAAGTCAAAAATCTTGTGGAATGTGGTTCCAAATAGTGGGGTAAAGGGGTCTGAGAAGAAATTTTTGAAAAAACAGAATTTTTTTTTTCTATGTCCAATATCTTGTGGAAGTCTTGTGAAAAATTCCATTCAAAAGACACCAAAGTGATCTCAACATCTGGTAAATTAACAAAATCTCAACATCTGGTAAAAATTAACAGATCAAATTTGATTATTTTTCAACATCTGGTAAATTAACAAATCAAATTTGAGTATATCTTAACATCTGGTAAATTAACAAATCAAATTTGATTATATCTCAACATCTAGTAAAGTATATCTCAACATCTGGTAAATTAACAAACAAATTTGATTATATCTCAACATCTGGTAAAGTAAAAATCGAATGTAATCAAATTCAAATATATCATTTTTCAAAAATCTAATATCAATTATGTTTCATTTTTTAATGTTGTACGACATTGATATTCGGTACAAATATGAAAATTTGAAGGTGGTTTCAGATCACATGATTGTATTGACTAATTACATGTAGGTATAGGGGCTTCGATTTGTGATGAATTATGGGATTTTGATTTAGAATAATGATATTAATGGTTGATCTGTGAAGGAACTGTTACTGGCTGACCTGGATAGAAAGCAGATGATTAGATTACAATGTAGTGCAAAAATCAGATGAAAATACATTCCGGCAGCTAAATACTACACCTATAATATCCTATAAGATTAAAATTTAGTGGGTAAACGCATTATGATAAGATCTAGTTTGAAAAGGATTTCACAACCGAAAGATAGAGCCAGTTTGAATATGGGCTGAATACATTTTATCTTGAATATGTTAAATTAAACTTGAACTTTTCAATGCAGATTCATGTATAGGTCATACACACTTTACTCTTGTAAACATACTGATATAACAAGTACATACAGTATATTAAGTTTAAATTTGATTTTATCTGAAACATAAATTATGCAAGAACTAAATCTGCCTATTGCAGGTCTTTCTTTATGCCTGAATTGTTATATATACTATTAATTAGACATTTTATAACATGACTAGACAATAATCAACTCTCGATGCCATCTGATGCTTCCGATTTTCATTAGATTTGAATACAATCTACCGTTCAACGGCCATTGATAATTAAACACAAAAATGGATAATATAGACTTTTTTTTTATTTTCATCACAACAGCAACAATGACAATCAAGGCTACAAGGTTTGTAAAATGAGTATTTCTCGGCTTAGATTGAAGTAATTTGACTGAAATTTTCAGAATATTTGCATTATATTATCTATTATTTAACTATTATAGTGAAAACTGTTAGCTCTTTATCTTATCTTCCATAAAGAATATCCGCATTGGTATTCGCAATAATTTCACACATTCTTTTTCCATTCACTTGAATTGATATTTGTTGTCTATTTTTGCCAATTTTATAGAGAACTTTAACATAAAATCAGCTCAAAAATACATGTCAATTTTATTTATCTTTTAAACAACAAATTATGGCACTACATGAAAATCAAAATTGCACCTTAATTGCTTTCACTTTTAAATTAAACTATTTTGCACGAAATTCTAGACATACTTCCCTAGCTTCACCATAAGAATCGTCTTACTGCCAATATCTCTCAGTGGCACGCAGGACACTTGCATTACCTGCCATACATGTACCGTAAGTACGCCACTGTATACAGGTATAAAGAAAGGTTCTATTTTTAAATTTTCTATAATGTCTCAAACCAATGATCTCCTTTCATGCAATAGGTGAACATCAATGATAAATTCAGTACAAATAAAATAGAGCACAGCTTGACAAAAAAAGCCCTGTTATTCATCAGCTTTACATGTTCATGTTTATTTACTGAATGTTACTTTGCAAACAACCGATATTGATCACATACATGTACTGGTAATAATTCATTCATAATGGATTCCAGGCATGATAAACATCATTCTCACATGACACATTCAGAATTTCAACACTAAAAATTGTTTTCTCAAACAAGATTTACAATCATCCATTTATAAAAGTGCTGAATCTAGTATATTATGTTTTGTTTTTTTGATATGTTTGGTATATTAATTTACATGTGTTTTTGTTATATTCACTTACATAATATACCTATATCACACTATGCAGGCATTAACCCATACATTCATGTTAAGCCATGCATGAAAAAAGTTATTTTTAATAAATGTTAAAAGCACTATTCCTCCACCCAATAGCCAAGAAAATGATATCTATTTCCCTCATTTGGGGCATTTTCTAATTTGCATTTTATGGCCCAAAAACAATTTGTGAATGATTACCAACACCAGCCATCATGAATGAATAGGGTGAAATTATGTGTTGACAATAAATTGACCTTCAAAATATACATGCCTTCACAGCTACTGGTGAAATATAACTAGGTGTAGTTGTAATGATAAGTTACTCTACTGAACATTAACATTACAATACAAGTGGGTCTGAATAACAACTATGTTTAAAGGACAATATTGGTGTCAATCATTATCACATATGTGATAAACTGGTTAAACCCATTCCAAATATAATTTTATCACAGAGATTATTGCTACAGATGAATAATGAAGGTTTCAACAAACGGAAGTGACGAACGCAAAAGGAGAACGCAAGTTATCCTTCTATATAACTGACTGAAATGACGAGTGATAACAGATACATGGGTGATTTTCTTCTCGCTAATAATTTCTTCGAAGACCAAAAGTTGTTGTGTCAGACTGTGAGAGAATATATGACAATTCAAATAAGAAATTGGCTGTCACTAGATAAGTTTTGTCATATCTCTGATTAACAAGACTGCTTTTCCCCAAGAATATAATAAATTTCAGTGCAAGTCAGTCAATTAGACTACCAAATATAACCAAAACAAGAGTGGCATGTATGCGCTTTCCGCCTCATCTACTTAAATAATGTACACCTACAGAATTCACATTCTATTAGTCCGTATTTTAAGCCTTGGGCGATGAAAATGTGTTTTTCTAAATATTTAAGTAGTGTTAGCTTCAGTTACAGCAAATTTAATTAAGTACAGTAGTGATACAGGTCTTTATGTTTCTATACCAATCTACATGTTTTTAACCAAACTGGTCTGCACTGGATCTTACTTAATTAATTTGACTGTAATTATGATTGGGTCAAAATGAGGCTGATGTTTTCTGCCAAATTGAACAAGCAGTTGCCATGCAAGATATACCCACATTCTGCAAGAGATGGACAGGAGAACAAACTAAAAAAAAAAGATGCGAATATCTAGATCTTTGGGATATAAGCATACATGTATATTTTAAGTTTCTTTAAAACCAGATAAAAACTTTGTATTACATACTTTTACACTATTTGCATACAAGGAGCAAAAAGTGTGACAGACAGTCTGACATGCTTTCTTCGAAAGGCAGGGGCCAATAACTTTTGAAAGATATGTTGTCTAAATGACCATTTTATTCATAATAATCTTCATGTTGTTTTCTCATTTCAAAAGTTGACTTACAACCGTTCAATTTTGACTTTAAAATCATGGTCCATAGTCATAGAATTTTGTATTTGACTAACAGGTAAAGACTTTTTGTATTGATTTACCCAAGCAGGAAGATATTTTTATTTCATGTTATTCATCATTGACTATGAAATAAATTATTATTCACGGCAGAGGCGTGCTGGACGGGTTGCCTACCCTGCGCTCACAAATGCAAAAACAAAAGAAACTGGAAATGGTTGATCCGATGACATTTCTTACCAAGGTATAGAGGTGTGTGGCTATGTGCCCTCCCTTCCAAAAAAGTGTTCTCAAATTTCGAAGAAATGCCCTAATGACAACATTGTGCCCTCTTTTTCATGTTGCCCTTGTTTTGTTCAAACCAAATCCAGAGATAATAAAAACCAATCGCGCTCAATGTACATACAGAATATGTCCGTTTTTCACTGTTGATGCCATGGTCCCATGCAAGCTCAATCCGGCCATGATTTCCACGGATGGCTCCCTGATTAGATTTCACATCCGGATTAATATTTCCATAATATTCGGAATCAATTAATTTGTCTTAGTTTTATAATCGAAAATTGCAACATGGGCAACATGAAAGTTTTTGGCGGCTAGCATTCTCAGGCCAATACACTAATCACTACCATGAACCCTTCAACATTAGTATAATCTGTCACCGGAAATTTCTTGGCCTGGCTTAAAGTGTCTAAATCTTGATCTTATCTCATTCTTGGAATTGTGTCAGTTTACTTACATTCTACACCTCCCTCATTAGCAAACAGAATTGAATGAAACTTTGCAGGTACCTTTTGCACGCGCCGGGTGCGCCCCCCCCCCCTTCTGAAAATCCTGGATCCGCCTCTGTTTTGTAAGGAATATCATCAGTCCTTTTTGACGCTTGTTTTTATTTCCTTACAGGTCGTGGTTTTGGATTGCAGCTAATTAAGTATGTTCAAATATTAAGGACTTAATCATAATTCCCCTATATAATCAAGTGTCAATCTACATAATATCATGGACCTTATAATACATTATAAGGTCCATGATAATATGTCATATATGCGATATACATGAACCTCAAATCGATCCCAGAGTATAATCAAGTGTCAATCTACATAATATCATGGACCTTATAATACATTATAAGGTCCATGATAATATGTCATATATGCGATATACATGAACCTCAAATCGATCCCAGAGTAGGCCTAATTCACGGTGATAATTAATCATGTCCTAACGCACGTTGAGCTGCGACAATATACCATTTCAGAAACTATATAGCTATAAATTATAGTATAACATCTTAAGCAAATACAATGCATATTCCATAAACTTCAGTGATATTTTGGCTACACCGAAATAACGGCATCATACTTAAAGCAGTCAGATCATTTTTTTCTTGATTGATGTATACGCTGTTATAAAATGATCATGATAATTATTTATGTACTTTTCATAAGAAAAAGGGTTATTTTCAGTTCTATTTAAGCGCCAATTTCGAGCCTGTTTGTATCAATAATCTCTAACTTACCCCGAAGAAAGTTCGCTATTTTATTTGTTGAATTTATTACTAATATCCTTCAGTGATGGCAGACCTGGGTCTTTCCTTGACGCTTGTTTTTATAAACTGTCAACTAACGAAGCCTGTCGACCCACAAAATAGGATGGGGCGGGATAAACTAGACCACGTGACCTGTGCAATCCGTTGTTGATAATGAGGAAACACTAGCGGTATTACAACATACATGTACATATAGCTGTTACATTCCTTGTAATGTTTCTAAGTGGAAAGTTCCAGGTTTTCAACATATCAAGTCGAGGATGTGAAATGTCCATATGACACTGATTCACTGAATGCGTCAATCAAATGTACGTGTTTTGAAAGAATTAATCATTGTCTTACAAGAGTACATTATACGGGGGAACGTCCTAAAAATAAACTAAATGACTAAGAATATCTAATAATAAAGAAAAACGTGTTATCTATAGGCTGGAGTCCATTTTATCCTATAAAATTGTTTAAAACAATTAAGGCTGAAAAAAAGAGTTAAACGCTACATTTAAAACAACCGGACCATTGTATTGATGAAGCAAAGAAAGTGAGGGTTAGTAAGGGAGCTACGTTGAGGTTGTTTCGAAAATCGCGTACAAAATTTCTACCATGCTAGGGCCTAGACAACGGTGCTCGATACTCCGCTAACCTTGATTTTAAGTTGCGGGTCCGCTTCCCATGGTTTTTTTTGGGGGGGAGGGGGGGTTATAAAAGGTCAAAATTTCGAGTTTAATTCCACTGTGTTGCGTAGGCCTACAACAATCAACTTCCGTGCATAATTATTCGACATATAGCTGCAATTTGTAGCCTCGGTAGTGGAACCATTTCTAAATTCGACCAACCTCAGGTGTCGCCGAAAAACTGCTTAAGAAGACCCAACCCTTCCTTCCTTCCTCTCTTAAGAATACCCCCTCTACCCACCCCCACGTCCCACCCCCGCGAGAGATGAGTTTATTCGAATTCCGCGTACAAAATTTTTTCGTTAAAAGTTGCACTATTGGTCCAATAGAGCATTGCACTAACTTAAGAACGCGAAATCCCCTTTCTACCCCGGATAAGAACGACAAAACGGTGGTAGAAATGACAAAAATGACAATTTAATTCGACTTTTGAGTACAACAATCAACTTTCGTACATACGTCGAGTCGTCGACTAACCTCAGATGTCATCAAAAACACTCGACCCTTCCTTATTCCTGGTTTGTAGCCTACATTTTAGCACATATTATGACGTCATATGTGGATTCTGGATTAGGGTTAGGACCGGCATATATCGTTGAAGTCTCGAGATGTAAACAGGGCTAGTGCTAACCCTAACCCTTGATCAAGCCTAACCCTTACCCTAACCCACATATATGACGTCATATGTGCAAGACCGTCTCCGATCTAGCGTTCTCTACGTTTTATTCTGCTGTAAAAATTATAACTACCGGAAATTTACAATCAAACGAAAAGAGCGGACAAAGTTTCAAATTGTGGTTAAATTGTGAAAACTACTAGCATGGATGAATGAAGAAATATGAATACAAATTAAAGATCAAATTTATGTCTGAATTAGAAAAAGAAGAGAGATAAAAAAAATGCTTGTGTGATAAATAAAATCTCCTATATACTCGTCATTTTTGACATAAAAAAAGACTCGTAGGAGGTTCTCTATATATCTATATTTAATAATACATGTATAAACTGTACTTTGTGCCAAATTCTCCATTTTTACTTAAAATTGTAACATTTTGTTTCAAAAATGTCCCCCAAAGAAGAGATTTCTTGCAATACACGAGTTATGTGCTTTGGTAACTTGCTTGGAAATTGTATTTTGAGGGGTAACTTTGACTCACAAACGTTACGATTATAATTTCTGAACAACAATTAGGATGGAGGACGGAGGGCCTAGCATCGGATAAAACGTGTAGTCGTTCAGATGGGACAAAAAACGGGGTCCCGTGTACACATTGGCGTGGGGAAAGGGGTGAGGTCTGCCATTGATTCAAGTGGCTCGGTTTCGATTCGCCGCTTGACCAGCATCACAACATGACTGTTTTAGGCCATTGAATTTGGGCCCCATGCGAATTACGCTTCGTTGTCGCGCTCCACCCCCACATATCTCGTATCAAATTAAAGATAGGTTGCCAGGCAACGAAACATACGCCCACAGCAGCTAAATTGTCCGGGCAGTCAACAAGTGTTGTTGCATATTTTTACTTCTTTCGGTAATGAAACATTTATAATACACTAAAATCTGATTAAGAGTAACAACTCATGAAGTAATTATCAGAAAACCATTAGAATTTGTTTGGTTTTTATAAAGCTAACGTTTAGTATACAAAACTTTTAATATCATGGATTTAGCTGTTCAAGTCACAAAAATTCATTGAAAATCAATATACTTGTTCGTCTCAAGCTCTTAAACTCTGTGTATCAATCTGATGTCAATCGGATGATAACTTTAGCCTCTAGAGCGTCACAAGATTTTTCAAAGTGATCAAGGGCCATAACTCTGACAGTAATTATCGAAAATCACTGAAAATGAATAGACTTTTGTCTCATGACCTTAAACACTGTGTGTAAATTTAAAGTCAATCGGATATTGACTTTAGCCTCTAGAGCGTCCACAGGATTTTTCAAAGTGATCAAGGCCTTAAACACTGTATATAAATTTAAAGTCAATCGGATATTAACTTTAGTCTCTAAAGCGTCCACCAGCAATTGTGGACGCCGGACGGACGAACGGGGGCGACGACAATATACGACCACATTTCAATGTGGGCGTATAAAAAGCACGACCACGTGAATGTTTTAGGCCATCGAATCTGGGCCACAGGCGAATTTGAGCCGTTAATTCATCCGTTAATTCGAAAACGCATAAATATCTTGGAGCCACCAAAGCTAGTTTTAAAAGAAGTTATTATGTGTGCAGTGAGCCTAAAATAACCCGATTTTCCCATATTTTTGGTATGTCTATGGTAATATATGTCGACAAAACAGCAAAGGAGGCTTCTGAAATTTTGCAGTCTAGTAGTTTATTCATCCCTTGATTCTGTGAAATATTAAGCATGCTGCCACCAAAGCTTGTTTGAATACTTTTTGATGCAGGTACCCTGCGTGCTCACTTAGTTTAGTGTGCGACATTTTAGTGTGTGTACAGTAATCAGGGCCGTATGTAGGATTTTAAAAGTGGGGGTGCAGCAGAGTGGTGGGGCGCCATAGCCTCCACGTATGTGATATGATATAACAAAGTTTGGATCAGGGAAAAACGAACCCATTGGCGTGTGGGCGCCTTTAAAACCGATCGACTGATCAGTGCCTTAAGAGCATCACTGTGTGATCATAATCAAGTGTATTATTTTATAATTGAAAGATTGTCAAATAATTTTTGTTTTTTTTTGGGATGGGGTGGGCCGCAATTTCTCGGGGCGCCTTATTTTTCTGGGGGTGCAATGTACCCCCTGCACCTCCCGCTAGATACGGCCCTGACAGTAACGACTTAATGTGGTTATTTTTGGCCTCGTACTTATATTATGTATTAATGTGTTTTAAAACGTTATTTTCTAATACAAAGGTAACAATTATTATCGGTTTTTATTGACCTTCGAAATGAAAATGAAATGAGAGGGGGGTTGAACGTCCACTCGACAAAACAAGCAATTAACAGTTTTTTTTAGGGGGGGGGGGGGACCTGAAGAAACCCACAAGGTTGGACAGACGAACCTACTCCTTGTCACAAATAAGCGGGGGATCGAAACAGAGCCCCCCCCCCCCCCACACACACACACACACGCACCACCACCACCACGCCATTGTGTACCTGGGACCTCGGTTTTTCATGCCATCCGAACGACATGCTGTCCCTATGCCTTCCGTCCTACACCACTGACGAGGGGGTACCTCGCCAGAAAAGTCCTGACTACGCACTGAGCCACAGCACCCTTACTTCATTTCGAATCCGGACACAGAACTTCGGTCTTTTTTTATCCCATCCTTCCTTCACAACTGACATGGGTAAACCCCGTCAGAAAATTTCCGATGAACTTTGATGAAATGAAATGAAATAGGGTTTAACGTCCTACTGTTCTGATCCGACTGGGCTAATGAAGACGGGCATACGCCATACAGTGTGCTATGAGGAAAATTGTGCCCGGGCAGCGGCACCAAGGCCTCTGCTTATATCGATTTCAAACTGCCAATTACGTGCACGCCAATTTATAGCCTCGGTTTTTCGTCCCATCCGAACAACTAGACAGCTAGCCTTGCTAAGCCCTCCGCCCTGCACCACTGACAAGGGGAAACCACGTCGGAAAACCCCGAGGAACTTTCTCGGCCAATGCAGGGATCGAACACGTGACCTCCAGTTTAGTAAGTAAGAGAGCAAACGTCCCACCCACTGACCCACCATAGCTCCTACTTCATTTAGATTCCGGACATGGGACTCGGTTATTTTTATTCCATCCGAACGATTATATGTTGTCTCTTGCCAGGTTCTCCGTCCTACACCACTGACAAAGATGTACATCGCCAGAAAAATCACGATGAAGTTAGAGAGCAAACGTCCTACTCACTGGGCCACCGTAGAACCAACTTCATTTTGATTCCAGGCACGGGACCTCGTTTTTTTTAATCCCATTCGAACGACTATGCGTTGTCCCTTGTCCTACAGCACTGACAAGACCACGCATCAAAAAACCCGATGAAGGTTGATGAAGTTAGATGGCAAAGAAAGATTCGACTGCAGACTTAAAATCGATTACAGAATACAATACTATCTGTGCAAGAAGAGATTAAAATTGTTCAGGACTATTAAATTTTCTAGAACTTCAAACATTTCCGTTTATTATAATCCATGTCCAAATATAAATACCGATACGGTAGTCAGTGGACATGCGTATAAACTGCACTTCCTAGGCGAGAACACGAGAAGTCGAGATTGTGACGAAGCGTCAGGGAGCAAGAACACGAGAGGACGAGATTAACTCAAAGGCGAGGGAGCGAGAAGTCGAGGATTTTCAAAGGCGAGAACACGAGGGAGCGAGAAGTCGAGGTGAAAATAATCTCGTGTTCTCGGGGCGAGATCCTCGCATTCTCGACCTGTTTCCTCGTGTTCTTATGGAAGCATATTTGGGTCACTACTTATTGAGATAATATCGCAACACATCGAACTAAAATATGTCAACTTCATGAGTCCCATCATTGGCTGCACTTTCACGAATAAGCAATCTCGGGCAATGAAATTAAGCACGTGGTACATAACTGAATACGGCGACATTATTAAGTCTATATATTGCATTAAAATATGACTTGTTGATTTGGAGTCAAATCGACTATTGGCATGATATAAACATATCGACATAGTTTTTGTCGTTTAGAGGTGAATTTAATGCGTCGAGTCGACTTATTAAGTCGATTTTTTGTAATATAACTCACAAAGTTGACATATTTTAGTTCGATGTGTTGCGATATTATCTCAAGTAGTGACCCAAATACGCTTCCATATGTTCTCGTACTCTTGCCCTCGACTTCTCGCTCCCTCATGTTCTCGCCCTCGACTTATCGTCCCCTCGCCCTCGACTTATCGTCCCCTCGCCCTCGACTTATCGTCCCCTCGCCCTCGACTTCTCTCGCGATTCTGAAATGGCCGCAATAGGCTTCCATAATTATATCGGTATATATTATTACATATAGGCGATTTGGTTAATGAATAGTGAATAGAAGACGCCTTCTAGTATTATCAGCACATAGCATTTCTTCGTTTCGTTGTTAATTTTTACAGCAGAATAAAAAATATGGCTATGCATAATGGCTCTAAACTCGGCCACAGTGAAATGTAAATATAAAACTATTATCAAACTTGTAGAAAATAAAATAAAAGATCAGCCTTCACATGGATGAAGTTGGTAAATTCATTTATTTTCTATTCAAAACCATTATAACACCTTATTACTGGTGGGGATCGCGGCGGCTAAGTGGGTAAGGCGCTGGCTCGCTAGCCTGGAGGTCGGGTGGTCGATCCCTGCATTGGCCGAGAAAGTTCATCCAGATTTTCCGGCGTGATTTCCCCTTGTCAGTGATGCAGGACGGAGGGCCTGACAAGGACAGCTGTCTAGTCGTTCGGATGGTACGAAAAACCGAGATCCCGTGTACACATTGGCGTGCACGTAAGAGATCCCTTGACAGTTGGAATTCCATATAAGAGTGGGCCGTAGTGCCGCTGTCTGGGCAAAATTTCCCTCATGATAGGTCGCTAATAGCGCGATGTGTTGATTTCCTAATTTCTACATTTCGAGATCCCTTGGAAGTTGGAATTCGATATAAGAGTAGGCCATAGTGCCGCTGTCCGGTCAAAATTTCCCTCATAGCACACTGTATGGTGTATGCCCGTGTTCATTAGCCCAGTTCGGAGCAGAACAGTAGGACGTTAAACACCATTTCATTTCAATTTCTTATTACTGGTAGATTAATGACAGCGTATTTGTTTGCTAAAGAATACCCATATATACAGTTTATTAATATTGGTCTATAACTAACACTTCCAATTAATGTGTATTACAACCCGTGGTTTATATGTGTATTTACTGTGGTTTATTGGACTCTGGATACAGCCTGTCTAAGGCTATAGACCGGGGGCTCAGTGCGGGGGTGTTGGCGGTGGGCAACTTTTCTGTAGTAAAGTTTTTCGTAGAATACGAAACTAGTTGTCCGAAAAACAACTGAATAGTTTCATGGTTGGACTCCAGCCTGCAGGCCGCTTGGATTTTCGGGAATGCCAATCTGTGAAAAACCGACGTTAATCTGTGACCGGAAAACACATATCTGGCGACGTGATTAAAAGTTTGCAAAATTTTTATGACACGGATAAAACTGACGGATGCATTTTACATAATAGCTCACGGGATATAAATGTTGTATTGGTAAATGTTACCGGGGGAAAGTTTGGCAAGCTCCGTGACGTGGCCTGCGCCGCAGGCTGTAATCCAGCACTGAAACTATTCAATTGTTTTTTCAGACAACTAGTAGGCTTTCATTATATAGCATTCGTTGTGAAACTAAATCGTAGAGATTTTGATTTGACAGTTTTTACGTACTTTTGAAACAGGTTTCGAAGTGTTTTGATTCTGTTATGCAAGATCTTTTCCGACGTTCCAAAGTAAAAGTTAGGTGCTAAGACCACATAAAGATAAATTTTAAATGTTCCTATTATTAATTAGAACAAGTTTCAGCTTTAGTTTTTATATTTTACGATGACATTTATTGCTTTAAATCTTCCTAGTGCTAAAACGGAAAATTTGACCTTTTGACCTCCGGGGTCAGAAATAACAAAGGTGAATTTAACAAGTTTACATCTTCATTGAAAGGGTGATTACTTTCGATCATTTTCAGCATATTTTCATGATACAAGAATGTCTGCGCATTCACTTTCAGTGCAAATGAACTTATTTGACTTTATTATTATTGTTTTGTCGTTTGTGATTCGGCCATTATTACAATTACTCCTGTATTGTTTTGTAGGAACCTTTTTTTGTTCATTACAAATGATGCACGATTAAACCATAGCAATACATGACTTGTGTACTGTGTACATGTTCATTATGTCTTAAATACTGGATATTAGGGCTGATATTGAATTTAAATTCGTGTTTTTAATTTCAAATTTTTATAGAAAATATTGAGTTAGAGGTTTAGCTCCTTAACATTAATAATGACAAAATACAATATATATATATAGACATATACTTTATTTAACATTGTGACAATATATATATATATTTTACTTTATACCCGAAATATTTTATAATCAAGAAAAAGACAACAAATGTGGATAAATTATTTCTTAAAGTTTGTATGCCATATATAAACAACATATTTAGCTATCAGGGAGAAGCACAAAGTTAGTGGTGGGTATATAGAAATGTGAAGAGACCCGATTTCATCTAAATTGTAGTGCATTTTAGACTGGTAATTTGGAATGAGTTGATTTCGAGTTGGTTTTGTTCCAGCATTGAATAGAACACTAATGCCTAAATGGACCACCTTGTTCACATTTCCTTAATTTGAACCTGGTATGGTATTAACATTTATATTTTAACTTCTTTTGTTTTTTAAACATTAAAAAAAATACATCACCAACAAAAATGGAAATTAAAGTGTTGAGGGTTCTTGTAATTGCATGCCAGAAAATACATTAGACCCCACTTACCACCCAATCCAAACAACTAGATGTTATTCATTGCCCGACCCTCCATTAGCAGAGAACATTGGCATTGAACCTGGAACCTCCTTGCTATTGAGCCAATGCCTTACCCACTGAACCACTGTTCTTTTTTAAAATGAAATTACATATGAAATGTGGGAGACCAAAAAATCTAACAAGGATATAACAGTAATGGGGCAATCATTGCACTTTTATCTATTCCACTAAACAATTTTTTGAACATAAGAAATCATATTAAGGCACCAAGAATCTTAGCTGTATAGTAATATTCATACCCCTCATCTATGCTTGTGAGCAATAAATTTGGTTTCAGTGAATTGAAATAGGTGAATGAAATATAAAAACAATTTTAGAGAATTCACCCAAGGCGAGAGTTCTTCATATTATTACTCATACTTTTTACCCTGTTAAAAAATGGATAATCGAGACTGTGTTTGTTATCGTACCAATTGTAGTAATGATGATCGAAGCTAAACATTTAAACAATTATTACCTAAATTCAGGGGTGTAAATGTAGGTGTGTGGGTGGGTGGGGGTAACTTATTCTTTTTGGAACAGGACTGGTCTTCATACATTAAACTTCTTAAAAAAAAGCCTAAAGGCGCCGCCAATTCAAGTACGATCGACGTGAAACTTATCATGCTTCTTCCTGGGATAATATTTTGCATGGATTGGCAGATATGATTGTCACACTTCCAAAGTGGTGTCGGTGACATCATGCTTGGTTCCTGGTTCATATAGTACTATTATACTTGTTTACTAACAATAAAAACATATCCCAAGCCTTTCATAACTTTAAACATAATGTGTATGAATATGTTTTTTGTAATTTCAATAGGTACATTTATACACACATTAATTGTTTAAATGTTATTGTTTGCTTTGGTTACTTTACAGCAAATGTTTCAACAATGGTTCTCTTGACATTCTCTACCCTTTTACAAAATATACATGGTTAATAACAAAAGTAAATTAAAGTACATTTTATTAACATGACATAATCAACTCTCTAGAACGTCCAAACAGCCATAACTTCAGAATGAAGTAATTTGACTGAAATTTTCAAAATATTCATTTTTCATTATCTTGTTTTAAAACTGTTATAGCTAACAGTAGAACTGTCAGATCTTTATCTAAATCTTACATAATGCATCTTTAATAATAATAGGCTTGCTTCATGTACTCATACAGATTTATTCAAAAAGGTTTTTTAGTAGTTTACATAAGATACATTTGCTAAAATACAACAACTTCAAAAAACATTCACGACTTTAATGGTCAAGGCACATAATTTCCTTTTTACAAATGCAAAATTTTCTCCACTAAGATAGTTTCAAACTCATTAAGCAGCAAACGTACTCGGACATTAAGTGGATAGATTAAGTTAATGACATGTAGATAGCAATATTATCTTTTTATTCGATTTAAATTCAATCATTGTTAAGACTTTAATCAAAGGAAACCTCTTTGATTTAGGTCAAAATAAAGTGCTGAATTGGGTTAATAGAATTCTTTTTTAGTAGCCTCTTTACAAATTTTAGTTTCTCTTTTGACTCTTTGTTGAACGTTGAACACAAAATAGATTATATTTTGTTTTATCTGTATATGGATGTAATATTTTAACAAAGACAGATCTTCATATCACAATCAACACGAAAAATTCAATGAAACTTACATTTTTGGCCCAAATCAAAGAGGTTATACTCCTCTTAGTTTTAAAGGAATATAACTTTAATGGATAAACAATGAAAAACAGGGAATTCACACAGCAAATTATAATACCATTGGTATGGTACTATTTCAATTGAAGATACATCTACATGTAAATTACTGCATGTACACCATCACATCAAGCTATCACACAACAAGCAAACTACTTTTATTTCTTTGGCACGAGACAACATTTGACACAGATCAATCTATTTCAATCTTTTCAACTCAATTGAAAAATTCAACACATTTTTTTTTTTTTTTTCAATTTGTTTTTGGAGTAACCCCTTTGGCATTCCCCCCAAATAATTTACAGGTATTAAAAACAATACAGCTATTTTATTTTTTACAGTAATTTAGGAAGATTGTTACTGTCTGCACACAAACAAGCCACTACATAAAGTAATCCCATTAATAAATTTAACTTGGCTAATTCTCGAGGCAGATTTTTTAAATCTCCTCTTCGAAAATCCTTCTCATATCTAAAAGCTAAAAACATTGAACTAGCAGGAATAAACATCCACTTAGTATAATGTAGAGCCATTAAAATAAAAATTATGTAAGGGGTGAATATAAGAAGGGTAAATAAGAGATATGATCCTGTGTGTCCTAAGAGAATGGCAAGAGTAACAATACCAGCTTTACTGTCACAATCCATATCACGGGTATTGTTACTGTGTAAAATAGCTTCTGTATTTAACGCTAATGGAATGGCATATAGAATACAGATCAATGATAATCGTCCTGTTTGACATAAAAACGAGAACATGATGGTAACTGGTCCGAAGGTGAGGAAGATTAGGAGGTCACCCAATGCAATGTATTTCAATCCAAGACCACCAGTGTAGAGAAAGCTTCCAGATAAACCACCAAAATAAATCAGGGCCAAATGTTCCATTTTAGCAGGAGATACAAATGTTAAACACAGGAATCCTAGGCATCCAATAACATACAGAACACCACCCAACCAAGCAACATCTTGCGGGGAAAGGATTTTATCAACTAAAGTTCTGTCATCACTTTTCTTACTATCGATGCCATGAAAGTAATCAAAATATGTGTTGACTAGATTACCAGCAGCATGAACCGACAATGCTGTTATTAAACTGTAGATGAATATGGCGGGATGAAAGTCTCCTGTTGTCTTGTAAGCAAGAGTACATCCCAATGCAACAGGTGTAAATGAAGCTGTAAACGACCATGGACGCAAAGCCACGACATACCTTGTCAGCTGTAAATTTAATTGATGACTTAGACTTAGAGATTCTTTGTTGTTACTTTTCATTTCATCATTGTCCGCGTTGTTGTCATTTTGATTTGCTTTCTTTACAGCATCATCGGTTTCACCTTCAGTCACAATAATGGATTCTTCATTCTGTGTTTGACTGTTATTGTGGCAGTTCCCATTTGCACTGTAATTATTCAGCTTCCTTTTCATGTTTAGACGGATTCTAATATATAAAAAGCGTAAATCGGAGAGAGTAAAACTATTTCATGACATTTCTCACTTATTAATAGAATAATTTCAATATGTAGATCTAATATTTTTTTATGACGAAAATCGAAGCAAGACGGAACCGGAAATACTGATTATTTCAGTTAGATTTTATATAGACTAGGATTGTCCCCAATTAGTAGTAATCCAATTTTGCTGCTTAGATATTATATAGTATATTATTTTGTAAGCTATAGGCATAATGTTATTCATTTAGATCCAACAGATAAAATATGTTTTTGTTAAATAGTCGTATTCTTGATAATTTAAGGATTTATTTTAGTCATTTCCGTTCCATGAAAAATATAAATCTTTTTAGCTTGTCACGTGATCGTTAGGACTGCAAACACTGATCATTATATGGTCACAGATCACTAAATTTTTTCCCATTGACTTTAATGTTAATTCTCGTCTCTTAGACCGGCTCTAACTTTTTCCCAAATTTTCGTTGGGTAGAACGCTTTCTACCACAGATGGAGCAACATGTGGCAACCTCTTGCCCAAAAGCACGTATGAGGTTCACCATGGAAAACTTGAGATACACAAGCTGGAAGTAGAGATAAAAAAACATGCAATTTTGGACCCTACATTTCAACCTCTCAACTCTTGTATCCTTCCGCCTCAAAATCATGAATATTCACCAAAACCTGGTACAAAATGTATTTGCAAACCTTTTTCTTCGATTCTACACCAAAAAGTCAACAAAAATCGCCATGCAAAAAGGGGAAAAAGGGAAAGGGAGAGAAAGACTAAAAATAACTTTCGCCCTACATTCGTCCAAAAAAATTAGTCTCGAATTGAGGCAGACCACCATTAATTTCCCCATTGACTTCAATGTTAATTCTGGCCTCTTTGCCCACCTCCAACTACTGTAGACTGTGCCGACCATAGCTCTAAAATACCTACTGTAGACTGTGCCGGGTGAGCCCCCCTTCCCCTAAAAACTTCACTGCCCCTCCGCTGCTAGCAAGCTGGCTACGGGCCTGGATAACCCCGTTATCCTTCCACCCCAAAATCATGAATCTTTACCAAAAACTGGCAGAAAATGTTAATTCTAGACCAAAAAATCAACAAAAATGGACATGCAAAATGGGGGAAAAGAGACAGAATTGCTATAAATAGACGAACTACCGACATGATGGTCTGCCTCCAACAAAGCCATTGTCATTGATCAAAGCAGCAAATAGAAGAACCAACTATATAACCGACAACCAGAGAGAGATAGAGAGAGAAATGGGGTTTAACGTCCACTCGACACAAACTAGGTCATTTCGGGACTAACATATATGGTTTAATTTTATTTTAATAATTGGCTTGCGCGTAGGGGTCTTTAGCAATGCATTGTATATATATGACGTTACTAGTTCGGGCAGAATGGTGCCTTGTACTCGTTTTAATAATTTTTACCTACAAATACTTCAAACGTCTTTATTTATTTTTCTTATACATAAAAAAAATGTTTTAGAATTTAATTTGTCGGTGGAAAAAAATTAATATTTGTGACTCATTAAGTCGCATCGATCTCATTCTTATAAGTGGGGGGGGGGGGAATGGCCGAATGGTAAGCACGTGCGCGCTGTATCATACGTCTGTCATTGAGTCAACTGGCGGGGTTTCGATTCCCCGGTTGTACATGGCAAGGAGTAGGGTCGCCTGTCCAACGTCGTGGGTTTTCTCCGAGTCCTCCGGATTCCTCCCACTACTAAAGACCCCTACGTGCAAGCGAATGATTGAAATAAAATTGAACCATGTGTTAGTCCAGAAATGACCTAGTTTGTGTCGAGTGGACGTTTAAACCCATTTTTTTCTCTCTCTCTCTCTCTCTCTCTCTCTCTCTCTCTCTCTCTCTCTCTCTTATCAGTGATTGTAGCGGCCAATCGAATATTTACTGCTGATCAGTGTGGTTGATTGCCTCAATATCGTATGGTAAATATCTTACAGTGTGCTGGTTTTTTGTGTGCCAGGTTGAGCTCGGCCTCGTTTCCGTATATGTGAATTCACGTGATATCATACCTTTGCATATCAAACTTAGTGCTCTGCGTAAGATGCTATGTAGAAAGCGAGAAGGACAAATTATGAGATGCGACAGAGCTCAAATGTAAAATGTAATGATGGAAATGTAAAATGTAGACACGTCAAAAACAGCATTTTCCATTTGACATTTGACTAGACACATTGCATTTGACGTTTTACATTTAACGTTGTTCTTCGAGGTATTTTGACTTTATCATTACTGGTATTAAGACTTTGTACATTGTACTTTTTACACGTAATCAATGGAAAAGACATTTTAGCAGAGCATTTAATATTGGCAGCGATACCCTTCCATAGCTAACCACTTCATTCCGTAATAGGGACCACCTCAAGAGCACAGGCACTTGAAGGGATTAAAATAAAACTTCTTACTACTCTTTGACTATATATTACATAAAACTTCTTACTACTCTTTGACTATATATTACAGTAATAAGTAATATATAGTCAAAGAGTAGTAAGAAGTTTTATTTTAATCCCTTCAAGTGCCTGTGCTCAAGAGCTAAATATCAGCATGACATGGTCTGATTTTCTTGATTATGAGGAGGGGTGTAAAGTGAGGATCAAGGGTATCATAAAAGTAAACTTATGACATTAGGTCCATCATTATGAAATTTTTATACTTCTATTTTTCATGCCTTGAAAAACTCGTCGGATACGTACAAAGTCCGATCGAATTCCACGACTTGTCAGGTGAAACCTCCATACAGTCTGTCATTTTGTCAGAGGGAAAATTTATCGGCAAATTATCGCCATTTTCGGAAATGAAAGTACGGTAGACTGCTACCTTTCCTGAATTTCTAACTTTACTTTCTATCGTAGCTCCATATTCTATAACTTGTAGGCTATGTCACAACCCACAGTCGGAAAATGCACATAAAAGTCTATTAATCCATAATATTACATTTTTGTCTAAAACATGTCACTGTCTAGTCAATCAACCACACGGGCTTGCTTCTATGGCAATGGCCGTAATCTCGGAATTCCATTCCCAGACATAAAGATAATGTTGGCGAGTGAGAGTAGCCCTAAATAGTAAAATTTAAAATCTAACTATTCTAACACCCAACGGATACAGAGCCATAATCAGGAAAAAACTACGGGAAGGTAAATATTGACAGGGTCATGCCCGTTGCGCAATCAAATATTTTTGATATCATGGTTCAACCCATGACTGAAGGTTAAAGTAGCCAAGTCTCTAACTCAATATCATCCAAAATCTTCAACATTGAAAACACGATTTATTTGTCAAATTAAATCAACATTCATGTTGTGATCTTACCGGAAAAAGATGGGCTTTTGATATCCAATATTTAAGACAAAATAAACATTTTACCATTGGTACACGAATCGTGTACCATAATGCGCTTCAGCCCCAGTTGTATCAAGAGACTCGAGGGACGAGGCTAGACACATTGCACCAAATCAAACGGCGTATGTAGACCGGAATTACCAGACGCTAGAAATTTGCACTCGCTTGAGACTGCTGGCTTATTTCGCCGAACATAACTGATTTGAAATTGGAGTAAAAACGGAAACCATTGAATGTAAATCAGTTTATATACATTCACATTACAGTATTATATGCGTTGCGACCCACTTTTGTCAATTTCTAGGTCCCAGATGTTAGCGATTTAGCTCATTTAACAATGTATCGAAAACGGGCGTAGTAAATTTATCGTAGGTGCCGAATACTAAAATTTACCGAGTTTTGTCACATATATTCAAGGGAATCTTACGAGATAAAACATGCATTATTGTGGAATTTATACAATGTCACGCTTTAGAGATGTGATATTTTCTCAATAAATCCAATGCCGATGCACACTGAGCAGTCGTCAGTCGAATGGTGTAATTCGGTTGTATGTATTTCAGCACAGGACCTTTTATTGCAAATTTTGATGAAACGTATTCCTGCATATTTACAAAATGGGCTTCCTGTTTAAAATTTCTTACAAGTTCGTAAACTATAGTAAAATTATCATCCATACTCAAGAAGTTCCATATTATATTATTATTCAGATGTATTTACGGCCTAGTAATCGCTACATGTTGTCACGGTAACGTGTAGATAGATTGCGTAGCCACTACAGTTTATAAAGGGATTTAATGTTTTAAGATTTGCGAAGTCAAAATTAAATGGGAGATAGTTCAAGATTTGTATGGTTTTCGACATTTAACTGATAATCTAAATATTACTTTATCAATTAATACAACAAACAAATAGGTTCCCAAAAGAAGATCGTATTTTCAACCCTTTATAGAAAAGGCGGGAAATTGTCGCGTGGTTAGGCCAACATTGTCAAAGACGGGAAGCTATATTATCGGATGATGTGTGCCGATGAAATTTGGGATTTATATTGTAATCAACAATAACTCAAAGTCTCGGTCATACTTTATTTAATCATACAACAAATAGTTAAAGTTGCAACTGCACATTTTCAAGTTGTATTTTTAAAATGTATTAAAATAAAGCCTTAAAATAGATGGTATCCATAAACAGTCCTACCTTGTTTAAGAATAATCCTATTAATCCTATAATTCGCTATTGCCAGCTGAGAAATTGCCAAAAAATATCATTATTAACTTCAAATTCCAACGTTGGAAAATGGCTGCCCCATGTTGTCAATAGCAAAACAGGGGAGGTAATTGTGTTGTTATTTCCTGTGTCATAGGTTTTTAAGGGTGGGAAATAATGCCCATGATCGTATACCCTTCCATAGCTAACCAGTTCATTCGGTAAGGGACCACCTCAAGAGCTAAATATCAGCATGACATGGTCTGATTTTCTTGATTATGAGGAGGGGTGTAAAGTGGGGATCAAGGGTATCATAAAAGTAAACTTATGACATTAGGTCCATCATTATATAATTTTTATACTTCTATTTTCTTGCCTTGAAAAAACTGGTCGGATACGTACAAAGTCAGATCGGATTCCGCGACTTGTCAGGTGAAACTTCCAAACAGTCTGTCATTTTGTCCGAGGGAAATTTTATCGGCAGATTATCGCCATTTTCGGAAAATGAAAGTACGGTAGACTGCT